TGACTTTTAACGACAATGTAACTACTATCCGTTTAAGAATTGCTCTTGAAAATTTTATTTCAACAATAATATGTTTAGATATTATCATTTGAATTTTTAAGTTTCATTATAAATGTCTAGAATATTAAAATTAAGTAGACAATAAAATGAACAAAGAATTTATAACTTTATCGAATGTAGAAAAGGAAACGTTATTGACATATAACTGACATGTTTATTATAGCTATACAGCCTAGGCAGCCTTGGATGGGGGTGAGACTTTTGACCCTTACGAAATTGTGATTTATAAAGATGTCTAGTTAGTATTTAAATATTTTACGTGTAAATTGCGAAATACAAGTAGTGGACTTTTGATTTTCTAGTGAGAAATCCAGTAAATACCTCGTTGACAGTAATATAGAGGGTACAAGATGAAACTTGTTTCTATCACTTTTATTTATTACTTACTTGTACCTACAAATAAGTGTTCCTAGGCATGATTTTACAATCTAACATGAATATTAAATTTATGATTGATTTCAGACTCATAATCGTAATATTATATTACTTTAAAATATGTAAATATTTAATATATGTTTTGATGTAGGCAATAAATGTCATCCGTAAAGAAGATCAGGTGAATTCACTTGCTCTCTGATTGGACTCCGAAACTTTACAAGATTTGAAACACAATTTATAAAGATTGTTACGACTCGATTTTCAGTATTGTATTGATAGTAATTTTAGCAATACGCAATTCGGTCCTTACCACTTGCTTGATATAGCAAAATTAATCGACCGTATCTGACTGATACATATGGAGTTATATTTCATATGCCTCTAAAATGACTTGTGAGCGTACTGATGTTTGGCCAGGGTTGCGGATCAAGAGCAACAATGTACCTCGGCTCAATCTAGCCTGAAGCACGAGAAGGAACGGGGTTTTAGTTAGTAAGAGTCTGACATTCCCTCTCGCCCCACCCAAGATATACGATGCTTTTTCCTCTTCAATGAGAAAAACAACTTACTAAAATGGAAAACCTTCGTTATAATTAATTTAATATTAACTAAATAGATAAGTAATTAGGTAATATTTTTCCTTAACATAAAGAGTAAACAAATTTTATTTAGGTAATTGAAAGAATAAAAATTAATAAATAAATGACTCTCAAAAAGGTGGTAGCTTTTCCACCGCTAAGTGAAGAACCTGTTTGGTAATTGATATTGCGTATAACTAGTATAAATCTAATGTGATGGTTTTAAAGAGCATTACATGCAAAGGTGAGTTGTCCATAAGTTTATAAAATTATACCCATTCCATGTTCAAATTAGGCACATTGTCGGTATGGGTGGGCAAATAGTGATAAAGAATGTAAAATATTCCTAACTTTGACTAATTCATGCAGAACAATGATACCTAAGCATAAAATAGCTTTTAAGTTGAGTTAAGTAAACTTATGTATTTTTACACAGTCGGGTAAAGATACATAAGTTTACTTTTCGTTAACTTTTCAAGTTTTTTTTATGTCATATGACGTCATACAAGCCTACGGATTACCTGATGTTAAGCAATCAGCGCCACCCATAGACACGGGCAATAACGGAGGAGTTACGAGTGCGTCGTCGACCTTTTTAGGATTAAGTGTTTGGGATTGGGGAAGGATTAAGGGAGGGGAAGGATTGGGCCTCCGATAGCCTCACTCATACGATGAAACACGACGCTGTGGACGCCAGTGTCTGTAAGGCCACGGTATTACTCCGGTTAAGCCGACCCATTCGTAACAAAGCAACACTTAAACGTGGCCCGGGCCTAGAGCATGAGAAAAAATTGGTGGCTTTTAGTCAGCAAGATTCTGACTGTCCCTCAAGTCGCCAAGTTGAGAGAAGTAATTTGATAATTTCCACATTAATAATATATAGATTTAGGCTATAATCATCGTTTAATTCATAGTACATTACCAGTGATAGAATTTTTTGTAAAAAAACAATGGATTTTCTTGTAAATAAAAAAAACAATGGGTTTTGTTTTTATGTAAGGTATTAAATCAGTTTATCTTACTGAAAAAAAATAAACCTTAAATGTGCATATTTTGAGTTGTCACGTTCAGTACGATGCGATGCATGCTTTCTTTTACGATGACTCACGTATATAAAACTCAATTTTATCACTACATAATCCATCACGAACATGCATAAAATTTCCAGTTATGCTTACAAAATCAACGTGCAATTTGCTTAAAATTTTCTCCACTACTTGGCATCGTACATCTTCCGCGTATAAAGTCTAGTATTCAGGGCTTTAATTAAGTATTTGCGCAAACTGATCAAGTTTAATTTGCCTGTTCGTGGGTTCATACTAGAATTACACAAAGCCGTCATACACTAGACAAGCTAATGTCCGATAAAGACCGAGGGTTCGTTGTGAAATAAGTACATGCGTCGCATCGACACGCACTGACCCCAGCGAAGCCAGTTCTACGTGTGGCATTTGATGAAATCAATAAAATATATAAAGTAATCAACTTTAAGCTTCTGAATTTATTTTATGTGCAAATAATGCAGGGATATTGGATATTTTAATATATCCGAAATAATATATGCTAATGGCATGAGCATATTATCTCAGTATAATACCTTCAAACGAGCAATTACGTACATATATACTCGAAGGTACATACAAAACATGATTTAACATTTTATTCGAAGGGTCTCAGGAACCGCTCTAACGATTTTGATATTTTTTGTATGCAAATGGTTTCAGAGATCGAATTAGCTAGGTATCACTTTCAGAAAATAATAAAAAAGTAAAGAGCTGAGCTCGATCATACGGCTACTGGCTTTATTATAAAGTGAATAATAATACAAATTGGTAACGTATTTAATTTAAAATCTTAGCTGTTTCTTTAAACGTGAAACTTCATAGGTCCCAGAATAAAATCACAGTCTAAGCACAATTAATTGTCTAGACATTAAAACTTTAAAATACGGATGCGAAACGTAACTATACGCATTAAATGAGTCGTGATACCTTTTGAAATGAGGACTCTTTTACAAATGCGAGTGAACAGTTTATATCATATTACCATGAATATATTGGAAGTAAATTACGTGAGAATTCATCTAGCTCTACCAAGCCACTGGGACTGAATCAAGCATTCACTAATCCTAGTAGTTTAAAAACGATATGTTTTATGACAAGTAAGGACAGGCTTAAAACCAATGCAATGGAGTAAGTAAAGTAAATTAAACATTTAAGTCAATTATCTAATGAACCAAATCGTTGAGCATTTTGTAGAAAAGAAAACACGCACGGTATATGTATTAGTAGTTAGCGCACAGAAAGCATAAAAATTTACAAACGTAACCGCAGTTATTTAACATGTACGAATGTAATACATTACTTCTTAATTAAACAATCGACATAGTAATTTGTTTAGTAGTGGAAAATTGGTAATGATTGGTGAATGAAATTCAAAGAAATTATTACACAGACAATAATTTCCTAGACTGTAAAAAAATCTTAGCAGTGTCACGGAATTGCTGAAACCATCGTGGTGTCTTCAATAGGCACACCCATATAGATAAAGAGCGTAAAAGTACGTGACACTCTTAATATATTATGAGCAAAAATAGTTTTGCATTGTAAATATGCATCTTTGCACAACCCCAACTCTTAAAGAGTTTGTTTTTTGTTTGTTGTTGCTGTCTCACACTAGGATTTTCTCCTGTGTCCCATGACTATATAGTATACCCATGAAAGTAAGATCTGTAACACCGTTTTCTGAATCACATAAATAATTATCTGTCTTCGCGGAAATTAAACTTGCTACACATTGAACAATAGCTGAATACGCAGATACTGCGCCAACTGTGTATTAAGATGAGATGGTATGGTAGTAGGTGGCGATTATAAAATCATTGAAGTTATCTTTCATCTGATTACTGAACTTAATAAAAACTGGTTTAGTTTATCGCTCTATAACTGTATGGCAGCTAAATAAATACAAGTATCTACAAGTACCAACAAGCGCAAGCGTAGTTTATGTACTTGGTTACGTAACTATCTAATACACAAACCTCGTATCCTGCGATTGTATAATTCTTTTCATTATACTTTCAATATGAAATTAGTTTTACTTGAACGAGTTGTAGATATCATGTTCGCGATTCGATTTGCTTTTTATAGAGCAAAAAGATGAAAATCAACAATCTGTTAGGTGAACAAAAACTAATTACAAAAATGCGAATTGTATTTCTGTAGATTTTTTATTGATTCACTGTAAAGTTTCTCATATAAAATATTTTAATATCATTGTTTTTTGAGGCTCTTTTCATGTTATTTGTCAATCTATGTAGGTAAGTGAAGAGAATACTTATGAAATTAATTCCGCCTATGTGATTCTTTGTATATTAAATAAATGTCAGTATTATAAATAAAGAAGGTTATCTGTCCACGGCAGGATATTGTATATATTCTCGCTACTGAGCTTGACTTTCAGTTCATCAAAATCACCAATCACCAGCTAATTTATGAATATGTTCAACTTACCAAGCCGTAGGTTTTCTATTGTTTTATGTACATAATGCTTAGTTACTTAACTGACATTAGCTAAATTATACATACAATATCTCTTAAGGATTAGACATTTGGAATACATTTCATCCAAGAAAGGAAAAGGATTTCTAAGGCATCAGGGATATTGACATATAACTTTATTTTACAGCGTTTTTTATTTAAAATCAAACATACAAAGATAAGTTAATTACAATGGTAAGGTATATACAAAAGTTTAAAACTATTGAACACTTTCTGGACGGCGTCGTATCACAAAGTAATTTTTTTCTTAGAGAATATTCATAATTTTATTGGAGTTTATTTTGTTAGTGATCTCAAGTCTTTAAGAGTGAATTCCATAAAATTATGATTTTTTATCTTAAACTACTGGTGTTTGTGACGAAGAAATTGATTATGAAACCTAGTTTTATTAGCGTTGACGAAACTAAAACGTCTTATAAGTAACACTCGACCCAAGCTTAATATAAGCTTCAGATTTTACGTTAGTAAATGTTACTTTCATCAACGCTAGTAAAACAGTATTCACCTTAAAATCAAGATTGTTTTATGAAAAGAATCGACCAAGAATCTCGCTTATCTTTATAGTAATTACACGTCATACTGAGTATTATAATTATCTTGTAAAATAACAATTGGTTAACCCTAAACTAAAGCCTATGACCACATATGAATACTGCTTACGGAAATTTTATGATCCAATCACGGGTCACGTTTTATCCAACAGTGGATTCGTTTATTGTATGATTGGATTACAAGTCTTAATGGTTGTATGTGACATGATGGTGATAGGCGATTCTAGTCTTAAAGTATATGGCATTTGGGAGGTCCTGCCATGAGAACGTTCACGGTATTTACACTCTAGTCACTAAGTCACTTTACTGCTGGTAGTACGTGCCTTTGTAGTCAAGAGCGGCTCTGTCTTCTTGTTGTCTGGCAGCCTCAGGGTTGTTCTTACTTTCGATTGCGGCACGCTCCTGGAAAATAACAATAATGTGTTAAAGCCAAAACCGTTTATTTCAATTGGACATATAAACAAATCATTTATGTGAAGCTTTCAGATACTTTAGAACACAATATTTTCATCTTATGTTTTTATTTATCTGAATTTACACTATGATTCAATGTTTAATTCCAAAGAAATGCTATAAATCTACAACCTACTTATGTTAAATTCACTATGCATTCTTCTACAAGATATATTTGCTAGCGAAAAACTTCATATTATAACAGTAAATATCAATTTGCTAAGTAATAGTAATTTATCGAGAAATCTGTGTAAAATAGGCCAAGTATTCAATAGAAAACAAAATAAAAGTTCTCGATTAGAGCAACTCGACATCTAACTAGTTATAATGATGACTGTAAACTTACTAAAAATACTGAAACTCAACTTATCAGTTTCGAAAATCTGTCTTGCGTAATAGTCAAGGCTAGTACAAGTTATGTAAGTGTAGTGTAATGTAACTTACAGCGTTGGCTTTGATTCCAGCGTAGATCAGGTCGAGACCTTTTTGGATTTCGGGAGAGACTGGAGGAGGGGTGGGAATGTGGTCGCCCTTGACCCTGAATCCGAACTCATCAGCGGTGTACTCAACGGTGATGACCTGACCATCAGGAGCGGTGTAGGAGTAGGAACCTTGCTGGACCAAAGCGTTCTGGTCTTCACCGACAGCCCTCAAGAAACCTTCTTCGGAAGCGTGGATGTTGTTACCGGTTTCATAACTGGAAAAGGAAAAAACACAATATTTAGAGGACCATTTTCTTTCATACAAATAAGTAATTACTAAATTGTACTACAAAGTCAATAAATATGTACATAAAGTTTAATGTATTCATGTTTACTTTACATTATGAATGTGATGCGTAATCTTCGAGATGGTAAAAGTGGTGAGGTCAAGGTTGGCCACTTGAGCTTAATTTCGAAGAAAAAATATTATGACACCTATAACGATAATACGATCGTAATGGCAATTACTAATGATGATTGCTGGCAATTATATGATAGCATGAATATAAAACATAAAATCCGTATCTAAATGTTAGATAAATCTTGCGTAAGTGCTATCTACAAGTTGGTGGTCTAGTATAGTGATATAATTATAATGGTAAGTAATAAATTATAATACTTACGCAGTCTTGTAGCTTCCGTCAGTTCCTTGCTCCTTGTCGAAACGGATGATGGGAATGAAAGTTGTGGTTTCCAGTTGGACCTTGGGCCTGAAGTCTTCAATCTGCTTAGCTGGTCTGTAGTCCTGCTGTTGGGGCTGTCTGTACTCAGGCTGCTGTTGCTGGTAGTTGTTGTAGTTCTGCTCAGCAGGCTGCTGGTCATCCACCTCCGGCTGATCAGGCTTCAGCGACACTCTTCTCTGCGGCAGAGCCGTCGCAAGAGACAGCAGAGCGCAAGATACGACCTGAAACCACAAATCCCATTTTGTTAAACGATGACAGTACATGAACTTTAAGGTTACATTAAATAACGAGATGATGTCAGACCGAAGAGCTTAATCATATTCGGAATGTCGTAAGATAAGATGGTACAGATACAATAGGCAGCATCTTGTGAAACCGGCTCATTCGACACGCAGGTTGGGCGAAAGTGGGCCCAACATATTATGTATTGGGACTTACATGACGACAAGCATGCCATTGTTTTTATTGAGATCAACTTACTTTTAGTTATGCTACGTTAACAAAGAGCATCTTTTGTTTAGTACGTTATATAATGCGTGGTTGATTACAAAAGTTAGGCAAATAGACGATGGTTAACATAGATGTCTTATTTCATCTTTTTGGAACGTATGTAGTTGGACAGATGTGCTAATATTTACTTGTATTATTACAAGTTATGCAACATTTTGTTGTGTTTGTGACATGAGTAGGTGCAATAGATAAATATCGAAATAAATAATCACACAGCCTCGACAATCTTCACGTTGTTACGATCACCAATCTCGAGTAGTTTCATTGTGTCAAACAACTTTATAAATATGGACAGGTACGTTGTACGTTTATGACTCAATCGGTTTCTTACCGATGTGGAAAAACATTCGAATACATAAATCGTAAATATTAAGTCAACGTAATACGTTGCGTTTATTTTGTAGGTACATTTTCTTAAACGTGTTTCGTTTTTGTGAGATAATATTTTCCAGTGACTGCACATTGATTAAATAGGCATTTTAGTAGCATAGAGTTTAAAAACCTAACTTGTTCGTAGACATTTTATTAAATAGATTGACCTAGAAATTTGTTACATAAGGGACTTACATGGAACAAGATCATTTGTGTAACAGAAAGTTCATTAGAACGAGGTTGCGAGTGTCAATTGAAATGTAATAGTTTCTTGTTTATATGCTAATGACCCTTTCCATCATATCTAGTTTATATTGCGTCCGATTGCGTGATGTTAAATTACCTCACGCAGATGAAAAACTGAGCGATTACGAACTAAAGCGATTGTAATACTTTGTATAAGAATCTTATTAGGTACATAATCTATGTACTCGTAGTTTGGCTGTTATAATAATGAATACGTCATTTTTATCGAATCGTTCTCAAAAATTGGTATGTTTGTGTGTAGATTCATAATATATAATTACCAAAAATAAATTGCCAAACAAATATTAAAATGTTGTCTTGTAAATAGTGATAATGGGAATCCCCATTGCAAATTGTACCTACGTACTGAATGATGTATTTTATTTTTGCAAAAAGACAATAACTATTAAATTGGTATGTTTCAAGAGGAATTATTATCAAACCTAGAATAACACTACAGGAACAATTTCTTCTTTTTTAATTAACGTGGCCCCACTAACAAACGTACAATTTCACATACACATTTGTTCTGTACGTTAATCGAACCAGAGACTCGTTGCGCGGCAGCCAGACCCTCCACATCAACCGTGCAGTCAAAGTTCTAGTTTTAAATGATCATAAATAACTTTGGTTCTTCAAAAGTTCACTTTCTGAGATAAATAAGTTCAAGGGAGACATGTCGGCCTACTACTGTTATTTTACGTTCAAATAGTTTTAGTAACCTTAGTAATGGAAAAATGTAACAAACTACAATATAGAATATCATAAATTATATTCAAAACTATCCAACAAAAAAAACTACAAAACAATTTTATACTCTAAAACATAGACGAGGTCGTAACAAGAGGAAACTGACACTATATTACTTATCTCGTAACTAGAAAAAGTTTGGTTACAAAAAAAAGTTTGATATGAGCTTGGACATCGTAATTTAATTACAACATAGGAATTAAAGCCTAAACAAACTGTACACAAGTATAAAAATTGAAAAAAGAAAATACAGTGCAACAAAATGTACCGTAACTACTTTCTGAAAGCAAACAAAAGCTTTACTTTACTTAAGGCCACAATAGTTGCTTCGATTACACTCGCGATAAACGATAAATAGTATAATTAAATGTAAGAATTTAAAGATGAAGACATTTAAATGGCAAAGTTCAATCGTCGACATATCTGCCGACCCTATTCTGTGCCGCCGCTCACAGTACACGATTGCATCCAATCCTTCACAGAACTTTGAAATTAACTTAATGCTAATATATTCCAATTATTATAATGAGCACAATCATCTGTATTTATGATTACTTCACTTACAGAGAAAGATCTTAACCGTACCACATACTACATTAATTTTATAACTGATAAAAGAAAAGGGTTGAATGTAAAAGAAATTTGGGATAGGTATGCTTCCACTTACCAGCAGTTTCATTGTTGTTTATGTGTGTGGACGTGCAGCAGCGAATTGGCACGTGGAGTGTCGTGAACTATGTCAGAGTGGTAGTACAACGCTCACTTTTATACCGCACCCCTGCCACTTATGCGATCTGCGAGCCATCTCACTTTCATAGCCAACTTGCCGCTGCAATACACTGCAGCCACGATCAAACACGTACTTTGCTATTTTTGATTTTCAAATTTGATATCAAAATCATGATAATGCTCATTCATGCCTATGATTATTATGGTTCGTTAGATTTGATCTAATAGCTTTCTAGTGATCAGACTTTTGTGTGGCATTTGATTGTTACCGAGTACCTATGAAGCCAACTAACATGTGCACCTTGCGGACTATGAAATAAAGGATATATTTTTTAAATGAATACAAGAAAAAAGTGTCTCTTATCTTTGACGGTTTAGTACTTATCTTATTTCTCATTATATTGCTTTTAAGTATTTCATAATTACGAAAACATGTAAGCGTTTACAAACAACAAATACTTAATTGTTCCATTTACGAGTAGGTTCATCGTTTTATTGTTTGCCACAAATTTAAATTAGATTTGTGTTGTTCTCACTGATCTTTAGTAAACCTCTATAAATTAAAATTGAAAACAATAAACTTGTGATTATATTGAAGAAACAAGTGTTATCGTTTTGACTGTAAGCCCATAACTTAACGAATTCATTTGAGTTATATTAAATCAGTTACGTATGGTAGCGTAAACAATCATTAAAATATAAGATGACCATTTAAGAGCGTAGTAACATAAAGAATGTAACAAACGTATATTGGAAATAACTAAATGCCATTGTAATTTTTTGAATGTATATTAATTTAAAAGGTATAGTAAATAAGCTAATTATTTACCTACTATCAACTAATTGTCCAAACACAAAAAGGAATATTTACTAATATAAAGCATTAAGAACAGTTTTTCCGTTAAATAAACAAATAAAAAATCGGCAATGTTTCATTGTGGTAACAACTAGATTTTCAGATGTTCTATAACTAGAACTAAATGCTGCTACTTGCTAGTAACAGTGTAGTTGACAATAATAACGTTTTTTTTTTCGTTTTATCATACTGAGTTGCCGACGAACAGGATGTGAACAACGGTCTAGGCATTGGCGACTAATGTGACTTGATATTCTTGTGTAATACTTTTTATTTTTTATTGTATGTCAAGGGCTTGTCCTTGAAGGACGGTGGAATAAACAGCATCTCTCTTTAGTCAGCCTATGACCCGTTTAAGACAAATTCTTGAATGATTTGCCTCTGTTTATATAGGATCTAAGTAAATACACTGCACCTAAGTCTTACTTGATCATTAACACATAGTCATAAACATTCGCATACATTTTCATCCGAGTGTTGTGAGATGGTCATTTGCTCAGCTTATAACGCCGAATGCTTCCTTATGACATTTGTTTATACGTGTCCTAGTTGCATACTTCTTTTTCAACAAAATAAATATTATAAAAGACGAACGCGTCATCCACGCCCAGTTTCACCTTTGTTATGTGCATAGAATTTGTCTAAAGAATTGAGAAGTGTTTCATGTTAGCGGCACTGTTTTAAGAGCCATGGTGTAAGGGGCATCGTTTGTGTTGCCAGTAGCTGTTACATAAATTGTAGGCGTTGTTTTCGCTTGTCAGTGTAGCAACACGTTACTATCAGTTATCAAGGCAACTTGCGCAATGGGCACAAGAGGGAGTGTGCGTGGACGCAGGCACGCCTGCGATGCGCTTCATTTCCGTTCATTTTTGCGCCTGATGCATATAAGGTTAATCCATTATGTGATTTACAAGAACCATTATTTCTTATCAAGCTCGTTGCATTGACCGATGCCTCCAGACAGTATTAATTACTTTATTCTAATTCAGTATTACAAGTGGGATATTAGATACCACATACCGTTGTACAAACCTTGATGTTAAATTAGTCATTCGAAACTATTTCATCAGACGTTTTATAACCACCTGTAAACTTTAGTCATATCACAACCTGTAAGAACTGGTAAATCTTAGTCATACTCTGTAACATTAATATTTGCATACTTGAATTCTGGCGCACCCCTCTTTAATTTTTATGAAGATAAGTCATGTAATATCTGATTTTTAAGAAAAGTCAATTGAATTTTCCTATGTTACATAGGAATGCGTTTCTAGAAAAGTACGGTCTAGCAAGACGTATCCGTAAACTTTCATGCTATATACATAGTTTTAGCCATGAACTTTTCAACGTGAAAGTGGCTCTTTGTCAGTGTCATTTACTTCATATTATATTTTACAATATAGCTTATTATATGTATATCGTAACATATCGTTAGCGTGTCCATAGTTGCGATTTTGTCATATACATAGTTTCAATTGCACGTCTTTGGCGGACGCGAGATGTGTTCGTTACGTAAGGAGTGCCTGCGCTTTTGAGGTTACTGACACCGCTGCGTGCCGCATGGAGCGCCCAATTCTAAACGATTTGCACTCATTACTCATTACCATCGTTCGGTGTTTTACACTAACACGAAACCAGGCGTGCGTGAGGACCCCTCTTAGTTGATCAATTTAACCTTGGAACAATGTACAGGTTGTGTAGATCGAACTAATGTTACTTGCTTAACAACCACGTAAATCGGAGAAAGATGTGCAACTCAGCATAAGATAATACTTATGCATTTACTACTCGACTTAATGTGTTTCTAAGAAGAAACTTGAAGATCGCATATTAACATAATAATGGTTGAACTCCTACATTGAATGGGCATACCCTTGATTGAATCCTGCGTTGAATATATCATAATCGACGTAGGCGAAACAAAAGAGGAATGCAAGGACAATAAAATGATGAGCCATTCTCTACCTACCCTTTGCTAATGGATTGATGTTAAAATAGTAGCTCGTAGTGATGATCGCTGAAATAAAATGATCTTATTAAGGACAAAAATATATTATAACTAGGATTATAATTTTAAATTGACAAAATTGTTATGTTCAAAAAGTAGCTAGTTCATTGTTTATTCATTTGTTTATATATGGATTCATAAAGGAATATTCTTAGCAATGTGCAAAATTCCTTTAGAAAGAAAAAAAATGTAAGTCAAGAGATGTAAGAATGTCACAGAAAATTGTTGCATTCATTTTCTATATCACATTCTTAGACAACTAACATTTTAATTGCTACTACAATAGTCATTCATAACGGTGTTATGCAGGAACTTAATTACGTATTCTTCTAAGCGAGTTCAAGTCAAGTATACATAAATAGTGAACGTGTCTTCACCTTGTTCACTTTGACAATGACATTAACTTTGAAGAAAACTTTATGTTACAGGGTATTTTAAATAGATTAATAATAAAACAAAATATTAAAAATCATATTTATAAGACAAAAAAGCTCTTAATAGCATGTAATTAAGATTCAGAAACGTATGTTGACAGAATTCTGTTTTTTCTCGGTACAATAACTAATGAGGTGGTAGCAAAGTATTCGCGTATTGCTTCACCTATAGTGTACGGTGAGGTCCTAGGGTTTTATCAATAGACCATTATTTGCGTGAGACGATGGTCAACTGATAGCAAAGTAGCAGTTGAGAGTTTTTTTTTTTGTATCTGCATAAATTAGCCACATAGGATTAGGGATTATGGTATAGTTGAGACATGTTGTATTCTTTGAGACAGACTATTATAAATTTTGTTATTTTTTTAACATTTCACCCCACTTATTTTGACTATTTGATCAGGAGTTGGACTAATCAACGATCAAAAAGAAAAATTATTTTCTCGAATTGCTAATTAGTTCATTGAAATTAGATAAACGAGAACTTACAAGGCGGTCCGTAACAATATTTTACTATGAATGTTTATAAGTTTTTAGAATTTTTCAATCCTTTATCTTGGGTTGTTCAATTCAAAAATATGTACACGATTTGCATTTTTATATCAGTCTCATAAACGTTACGAATTTATTGATAGATTCGAGGCTAAAGGTTAGGGTTATGACACGATGTCTGGCGAAATAACCTAAATAATAATGTATTTGAGATTTAGTAGATTTACACAAACATTTTAAACACTCCTGATGTACATACAGCCGTGTTCTTTACTTCATAAAAAATATTTGGTAAAATATTTGGTTTAATTTGTGGGTTTTTTTTATGGAATATGTTGACAAACGAGCAGACAGCATACCTGATGATAATGAGGTTACAAGTGCGTTGTTGGCTGATGATATGGAGTTTAAGGACGCGGAGTTTTGAGATCGAATATGGGAGAAATCCAATCCTCCCCGATTGGGCCGGGTAATCTCCCTAACACAGCGTAACAAAACCTTAGCCTTTTTTATGCCAGTATTCTGGTATCACACTAATTGAGAGAGTTACATTTATAACGAGTTTCTCTATCTTTCTCATAGAAGGAATAAAAACGCAATATAATTGTAAGTGTGAGATTAGTACTTAATAATGATCATTGATTAAGATGTTACAGTGAGTTTATAACTATTATACATACCTACTTATGTACGTTATGCTAAAGTCGCGTCGTCGAAGAGGAACCTTTAAAAATTCAGAAGCGGATTTACTGACGTGAACATGAAAGAAACCATTAAAAGTATCAAAGGATCGAAGTGACTGGTGTTTCTGTGGTTTGTGTTCCGTGTGGCTTAATAAGAAAAAACCTAAAATATGTTTGTACGGAGTAGGTATTCTGTATGTAGGTATACCTTATGTTCCTTTAATTAAAGTTTGGATTTTTTTAACAGAAATTTTATCGAATATTGAGTTACCTTCCAGTCTCGCGGCATTAAGAATATTTTTATTATCTTATTTGTTTAAACCAGATCAGTTGGTAACTACTTTTCTTAAAATAGAATCGGATGATTTTTTGCAGACGCATATTTACGTTCACTTTATTATAATAGGTACACAAAGTTTTTATATGTCCTATGTACACTACACTGATATATACAGCACCTATATAAATACATTCAGAAAATTGTTAAGCTTATATTAATAACATTTTGAAGTTGAAGGTCTCAATACAACGGAGTTTTGTGCATATGAAAAATTGAAATTATTACATTTACACGTAATTAGGGTAATATTATTGTGTACATGTACTTTAAACTATTATGGTAGCCTAGAGGTTCTAAGCCTGGTGCAGTTTATTTATACGCCACTAATAAAATGGTGAAGGAAAATATCGTAAGGATAACCGAACTTAAAATTCAAATTGTAAGTTTGAAGCACCTAAACCAAGAAGTGGATCAATTCCCAAACTAACTTTTTCTTTAAAATAAAACCTTGTCCGTGTGTTAAGAAGAAACCTTTGCTCAACAGTAGGTACTTATTAGCCGATGATGATGATGTACCTTTATAATGTTATGTATGTTACAATAAAATAATCAATGTTTATGTTTTTTTTTTCATATTCGTTTACATTGTGAAATGTCTTGTGGTCCGCGCCCTTATTTATTTATATTAGCAACTTTTGTATTGTAAGTATTTACCTTATATCATACAACTCCCACCAGCTATCGAATTTCTTTGTAATACGTTTTTAGTGTTGTATGTGTTGAGATCTATACAGGATACCTACAAACAAAAGAGATCTGCACTATCCAATGATCTAATACGAGGTTATAATGTAGTTCTTTGACCTTATACATAAAAAGTCTATAATCTAGATCGAGCTCTCAAATATTAATAAAGATCGAGAAAGAGAAATCTTCGTCTATAATAGGTACCAAAAGTCGGTTCATTCATAGAATAACATCAAGATAATGAGAACAATATGCGGAGACATGGGGACTAAACGGAGAAAGTAAAATTGTAACGTAGGATGTCTTGCGGCTCTTTGCTTATGTAAGGTCTGTATACTAGATACTGGTAGGTGCTTTGATTTTTTCCTTTGCAAATTCGATCTCTTGTATCATAGTATACTATAAAAAGTAGTTTTTTGCTGTCCTTGCCCTATCTAGTAACCTCTTGTCTTTCGGTATATGAGACACAATAGAAAAATCATTGTGTCTCGCGTAGATCTGCGCTCATATATCACAGGCTAAAAATATCTTTAATACTGCGCAATGGATCTTGATGCGGGTTTTTAATAGAAAGAGTGATTGAAGAGGAAGGTTTATAATGTATAATAACGTCCATTAAATAGCGGAGAAATGTTTTTTCAGCATTGCACCCGTGCAATCCCGGGCGGGTCGCTAGTATAAAACTAAATTGCTGTACAAAAAGTCTCGCTATGTCCAAAACACTGAATACCTGGACCGACTTAGTTTCATTTAATTTTAGCTCAATCGTTGTATCTTTATTAAATTCGCATGGAATTCTTTAAGTAAGGCTGTTAATATAAAAATAGTGGTACAACAATAGGCATTTCACTAGTTATTTACGTTAGAATGTCTTATGAAGATCAATCATGAGATTTGTAAATATAAGACACCATTTTGGAGTTACGGAAATTAATCGTAATCGAATCATACATATAATCGAAAAATCTTTTAATAGATACTTTTCCCTGCAAATTGATATTCTTTAAACCATTATTTATGCAACTTGTTACCAACCATTGATAAAAGTTTATGGTATTCTCCAAATTTAGCTATCCAGAAGAGCCCATTAAAAAAACCTACGCAAAATCCAAGGTCGATTTCATAAGATTTTCTGACCGCGTTATAGTACCGAACGATTAACGATTAATCGTTTTAAACCAAAATCAATCCAGTTAAGTCTAAGATGGAATAAAAACTAGTAGCATTTTACCTTAATAGCTAAATACTTACCTAAAACGAGAGGCCGGTAGAGCAACTAAACTTGAATTGTATATTAATGTCTAGTGCAATCTTGTACTTGCGTATGTAATTATCCGCTATGTTTATTGACATTTTGTGTTCATTAAGTGACTTGTAAATTTAAAGGGATACATGAAAGTTCACCTAATTTTCTTCGGCTATAATTATAATAGTTAAGTTTTATTCAAAAGCAAACCATCCCAGCGCAAATACGAATCCCATTTTTGTTAGTGGCAATTGTGGAATGGAAAAATCCTCCTCGCTTCTACATACAAGATTCCAACGCGTATTGAACCAGGAAGTAATGTTGTCTTGTGATGTCGACTTCCACATGAATGCATTGCTCTCATTTAAGTGCTTTGAACACTAAAAAAACAATAAATTATCATCAGTTTGATTAAGTTATATTTATGATTAAGTTATATTTAATTTAATTATTATGAAAGGTAATGCTTATTAAACTAGTCTTATACATATTTCTATAGCAATCGATTCTTCAACACTTCTCCAAGAGCAACCTTCAAACAGTACACAACAGTGGATGCCTAAATGACTCCCTTGACTTTATTAGAGCATTCCAAAACAAAATGGTATCAATGCACCTAATACCCAAGACTAACGTCATTGGTTTCACAACAAAAGTGAGTGGAGGAACGCTCCTCCGTACTATGCGTCGGCTGAGCTGATCTTGACATTTCAATGAACTGATATTTCAATCTGCACTGCTTCGTAGTGCATGCAAGGTGTATTAGACGTACTTTCTTTTTTGACTAACAGCATACATGCATATGTATGAAGTCATTTTATTTAATTTTAGAATGGTTTTTATATTTCAGTCTATATAAATTGACCTGAAGTTAGCGAAATGCGTTAAATACATTGTATGTTATATTCATTGTTTCTTATTCGTGCCTTCGTTGTTTTCGGACAGAAATATATTAGAAATATTTGAGACACAATAAATACACCCGTAATTTACACAGAAATATCCTTTCATTAATAAGTACTCGCACAAACATTGCCTTTTGGGCGCCCATCTTTTACTTTTTTTAAATCTGAACTTCGGAGAGACTGTGCCACCGACTTTTTTTTAATTGGTATTTTATGGCATAACTGTCATTTTAAAGATAAGAATCTATAAGTCAAAGGGTTTGAAAATAATAATTTTGAATATGAGGTATCTAAAGCGCCTGATAAATTTTCAATCGCATTTTAGTTTCTTGTAGGTACATTGAAATCAAAACATCGTTAGGCGGTTGTATTTCTCTATACTAAGATGTATTTGTATATTGGTAAGGGCATAACTCAACAACCATGCCAACATGGGTCAATATTAAGTATTCATTTTTTTTGTGTATGTAATTATTAAGAACAGGTTTGTTCAGAATATAGAGGCGAAAATCAGTTGCCGAGAACATAGTTAGCTCGTAGTATATACTATATTTAGTTAAAATTGACAATACGTGTTGAATAAAAATGTTAATTACAATAAATCTCATTTCCATACCAAGGTATATAAAACGTATCCAAATTAATTTATCGTCCATTAGGAGAATAATTGGCAGAAAAATGAACAAGCAAATAAATTAACAAAAGTTTATTTTGTAATATTAAATTAAACATTAACAACACAAACTATATCATTGACTTAGAAAATTTTATGAAATATTATTTTAAAACTAATTAACAGTTCATCCATATCACATTTCTGGCTCCGGGTAGGGTTTGGCTTCGTTTTTAATCCACACTTACGAAATTCACAATAGTTCTTATTTATTATACGTACTTGTACTTTACTATACTTTTATGCTAGCTACGCAGCTTTAGGTTCACGCACATCGTCTGCAGATTTCGATTCTTTTTTAGGTGTTTCCATTGGTTTGACTTTGTAATCGGGTTCTTCAGGTTTTTCACTATCAATAGATGGATTCTCAATTTTCTTTGTAGGATTTTCAATCTTTAGTACATCCAGGAGATGTTCGTTATTTTGTGAAATGATTTCCGAGGGTGTTGGTAGTGATTGAGCCAAAGATATAGCTTCTTTAGCGGCTTTTTCTGCAGTTTCAGCAGCAGTACCAACTGCTTGGGCTGCCTGTAATGCTTCTTGGGCAGCGTTTTTGGCAATTAGAGCATGTGCTACGGTTGCATTATTTTTAGACGATGTACCTTCCTTCGCATTCTGCTCTTTAATAGTTTGAATTACTTTTTCTACGGTTTTTAAAGCTTCCATAGCTGACTGGACTGCTCCATTAGCGGATTTCTTAGCTTCTTTTGCTACGTGAACCGCTTTTTGTGATATTTTTTCTGTGTTTTCAGGTTCTTTTTGTAATTCAATTGGGCCTTCAGATAAAGAGTTTTCTTCTTTTGTCTTATTGGGTTCTGTAACTTGCAGTTTGTCTGCCATACTAGGTTTGCCACCTTCTTTACTAGCTTGCTTTTCTTCTCCCTCGGGAGCAGACTTTTCAATTTCTTGGGCTGCAGCTTTGTCTGCCTGTTGTTCTCCTTTGTTTGAGGCAGGCTTTTTATTTTGCTTATCTACAGATTTTTCTACGTTATCACCAGTTAAGTTTTCTCCTATCTTTGAAGCTGGCTCATTACTAGCTGTTGATTTGTTTCCTTCTTTGATAATTTCCTTTTTTCCTTCCTTGGGAGCTGGCTTCTCTGATTTCTCAAAACTAGGATTAACCGTTTCTCCTTTCTTAGGATTAACCGTTTCTCCTTCTTTATCATCAGGCTTTTGATCTTCTTTAGCGGCAGGCTTTGTATTTTCTGTAAAAGCTTGTTTTTCTTCTTTGGGGGCCGACTTTTCTCTTTTTTCAGTAATTTCGTTGCCGTTTTTATTAACAGATTTTTCTCCTTCCTCAACAATAGACTTTTCTTCTTTAACTGCTGGCTTTTTTTCTTCTTGAGCCACAGGGTTTTCTCCTTCTTTTTCAGTAGGGGTTTCTTCAGCCTTGATAGCAGACATTTGACCTTTAGTGGTAGGTTTTTCTTCTTCCTTGGAGGCTGTGCTTTTACCATTTTTAGATGGAGGCTTCTCATCTTCTTTATCAGCAGTCTTTTGATCTACTTTGGAGACAGGCTTTTCTTTTTCTTTCAAAGTTTGATTTTCTTCTTTGGGAGCCGTCTTTTCTCCTTGTTCAGTTATTTTGTTACTGTTTTTATCAACAGACTCTTCTTCTTTAACTGCTGGCTGTTTTTCTTGTTTAACCGTTGGCTTTTTTTCTATTTCAACAGTTGGCTTTTTTTCTTCTTGAGCCACAGTGTTTTCTCCTTCTTCTTTAGCAGACATTTGACCTTTTGGGGCAGGCTTTTTGTCATCTTTGGAAGCTGGACTTTCCCCATTTTTAGAAGAAGACTTCTCACTTTCTTTAACAATAGCCTTTTCTCCTTCTTTGGCCACAGGTTTATTTCCATTTTGAAGGGTAGGGGTTTTTTCTTCCTTGAAAGCAAACTTTTTGCCTTCTAAAGTAGGACTTTTCTCTTCTTTAGTGGGTAGGATTTCTTCATCTTTTGGAATAAGCTTTTCGTCTTCTTTAACTGATCTTTCATTTTCCTCAACAACAGGTTTATTTCCTTTAACAGGTATCTTTTCTTCTTTAGCAGCAGACTTTTCTCCTTCCTTATCAATATGTTTTTCTTCTACTTTGGACTCAGGACTTGTTTTTGCTGCTGGGCCTGGTTTTTCGCCTCCATTTGGGGCAGTCTTTTTTCCTTCTTCGACTACTGGCTTTTCCTTGTTTTCTTTTTTACCAGCTGGATTTTCTTCTTGCTTGTCACCGACGTTTTGTCCTTCTTTGGGTGAAAGAGTTTTTCCTTCTTTGGGGGCAGACTTTTCTCGTTCCATAAGAACCGGCTTCTCTCCATCTTTGGGTAGAAGCTGTTCTCCGTCCTTTACCACATTTTTTTCTCCTTCTTTAATGTTAGATTTTTTGTTATCATTGGGACCAACGTTTTCATTTTCTTTGGTAATTGGTTTTTCTCCTTTTTTCAGACCAGCCTTTTCTTCTTGCTGTACACCTGACTGTTCATTTTGTTTGGGTGCATTATCTATTCCTTTCTCAATACCTTGCGTTCCTAGTTCTTTAGCAGCAGCAAGTTCAACAGGTTCTTTTTTTACTGTCTTTTCATTTTGTTTTGTTTCAGTCTTTTCCCCTTCCTTAGAAATGGGGGTATCCTGTGTGGGTTCTGACTTTTCTGTTTCTTTGGTTGTAGGCTTTTCCATATCTTTGGCTAAGTGTTTTTCTACTCCTTTACTAAGTGATTCTTTGCCATCATCGGCAACAAAGTTTTCTTTTGTTTTGTTACCTAGCTTTTCTCCTTCTTTAACTACAGGTTTTATATCTTTGTCACCTGCTACAATTTTACTTTTGTCAGCTGAAGAGTTTTTACTGTAATTTGTAGCTTGTTGTTCTTCGTTTTGTTCAACAGTCTTATTATCTTTAGATATAACGGTACCGTTGTTTTTTATATCCTTATTGATAGAAACTTTTTTAATTTGTTTATTATCGGCTAGTGTCGCTTCATTACGATTTTCGGGAAGATTCTTTTTTTTCTGAAGTGCTTGATTACTGTTAGTTAAATCATCTTCTTCCGCAACGAGCATCTCAGGGGCATCTGAACCGGGCTTTTTGCCTTTCTTAGCAAGTGTGTTTTTATCTTTTTCTTTGTTACTTTCTTCAACTACCGTTTTAGGTTTAATAGCCATTTGTGTCCTTTCTTTGGAGATTTTTTTTGCAAATTCGCCATGAGGTGGTGATACGTCTTCAAATGATCCTGACTCTGAGTTTTCTGCCAATAATTTCTTTGCATGAATAGCTTTGGACTTATTTTCTTCACTGTCCTCATGTTCTTGTGAAAACTTATGTTTTTTTGTGTGGCTGAAGGTCTCGACCCTTTTTGGTCCCAAGTTAATATGTTCACCAGTCGGTCGGAATCCATTTTCGTCCGCAATATACCTATAAAAATTGGGATTTTATTGTCATTGTTAAAAAAGTTATGCAGAGGCATCTGTTAATGATATCCTTTGATATTTTTACTTTAGAGTGACGCTCAAGTTCGCAAAACCATTTTTTGAATTGCATTTGGTTTCGTAATTTGGCAAATAATTATGATAATATCATTATATATTTTTCATGGAAAAATTAAAAACTCTTGAAATGAATCTAATATTTTTAACATATTAATGTTTACTTACGATACGCTGACGACGGTGCCATCTGGTGCAGTGTAAGAGTAGGATCCCTTTTGTACATGAATTTCTCCACTGTCCTCATCTTCACCACCTTCGTTGCTGCAGTCACTGTGTCTGTGCTCAGCTTTGCCTTCTACAACTTTGTCAAATGACGTCTCCTCACGTTTGATACCATTCCCGGTTTCGTAACTGTAATTAAAATTCAGATTTTTTTGCATTAATACAACTGGTGTAGAGGTTATTGTTTTTACAATTTATTATATACATATTCTTAATGTTCTACAGCACTTGCCACAAATGGTACCTACTGATTAATACATATTTTTTTATAATAAATAGAATTATGTAACCTTTTTATGTTTTTAATTTGATTGACTGCACTGCGCTGCGCTTTTAACCACACTTTAGTTAAATGTCGGAATGTACTTCAGGCAATAATGCCACCAATTTGCTCTCAATTGTATGTAAAATATTATATAAAATACCTAAATTTATATTTTCCATCGGCGTCAAATTCCTCAGATTGTGTAAGAATAGGTATCACTGTCGGTTGTTGTCTTTCCGACGGGACTTCATCCGTGGGTGGCGCGGAAAGCACGCACACCGATAGCCAGCACACACAAAGTAATTTTAATAACATTTCTATTGGAACCACTCCCGACTGACATTTCATAATGATACTCCAGAATTGATGTTCACTTATATGTAAGACACATTTATTTACTCTATCCTCCCCCCGCCCTCCTTAGGAGCGAGCCTCACCAGACGCTAAACACTTCAACCTTAACACCGGACTGATGTGTTCTTCGGAAAATTGCACAATAGCCTAGGTGTCAACAATCGAACATGATCGATGACGATTGAACGCGATTAAACCATTGACTCGCAAACAACACACTGAAATTCATATTTTTTGTTTATTATAATATACCGCGAAAACGTATTCATCGGATAGTCCAGATCATAGCTCTTTTTTCCAACGGAGTAAGCTGGAAACTTTAAAGAATATGATATTATTATTATTCGGACTTTTTAATAAAGTTATGAATAGTTGAAGCGGATTTTGATCTTGTTATTGAAATTTAATTTTCCAACAAACCCAATAACACTTTAATTAACTTTGGAATGATTGAACCAGTCGCTATTTGTTCAATAGTACTACCAAATACCAAAGATATTTGGTGTTCTTCGAGTATTAGGGCTTTAAAACTGATTTTCTGTTTATTATAATAATTATAGTCTTCGACGGAACGGGCAGACATCTAATTAAAATTAAATCACAATTATAGTTAAAGATTGTTAGGTAGCATTGTCGTCGGTATTTTGACGTCACAATAATGCATTTCCCTACATGTCCATATATTATATATTACCATTAACCATGTTCAGTTGTAGGTAATTAAATTAATTTTCCAAATTAATCATTTTTTTTTAAATTTGAAAGAAAAGAAATAGATATAGGGAAAAAAATTAACTTACTCTCATTTTTATTTCGGAGGCGCTATATTATTATTACTTATTGATGGTTTTCTACAAAGTTATGTATTTTTTCTAAATCCCGAAACATTGTAAGGTAATGGCTATAAAGCATATCACAGCCAAACCTATGTAAGGTTTGACTATGATATGCTTTATAGCAAGCCCAGTATTTTTCTTAAATAAGACCCATTAGATATACCCTTAAAATCGTACTCGAAACAACAAATTGCGATTTTTGATCCTTTCTTTAGTAATTTAATTTAAATAAAAAATGTTTATTGTTTTGTAGGCGTTGGCGTAGTTATAATTATTTATTTTTTAATTATTAACGATTATATATTATTAAGAAGGATCATGCATGCTGTATAATATTTACATAATACAAATAACTGCTAATGTAAATATACACGTTCGTATTTGTTTACATACGATAGAGTTGATTGTCGTGCGTATAATTATAAATACAAGAAAAATCTATGATTCTTGTCAAACCAGTGAATAGATTACGCATAAAGCCCATTATGACTTAAACTATTATATCGCCTTCATTTGCTGGCTTAATCGCACGGCAGAAGGATCGCACAAGTACTTAGCGCGGAGTAACTAATGATAGAAAATGTTAATTTCTAAATCAATATTACCGATTGCGTTAATATTCGGGCTTAGTGTAACTAGTGCAGATTCAATTATACAAAAACGTGTTCCTCGCAGGCATACTCAATATACAAGATCGCATAACTCTAATCATCCTCCATTTGTGGATCCTCCTTTCGAAGACAGAATTCCAGTTTCTGTTTTAGAAGATGAATTACTCAATTTGAAGAAAATAAATGAAATAAGTGACACAAGCGAATCAAGAAGCAGAGAGAATCAACATGCCAGAGATCTCATGTTTTTGGATGGAGTACAAGACTATGAAGAAAAAATAATACAAAATCCCAAAGCGCGATCAGTGAATGCTAAACGTTTTGAATTAGATGAGACAAGGACACCGGCTTTAGTAGATTACGAAAATAAACCACGTAGGAAAATGCGAAGGAGGTTGCAACAAGTAAGAAAAGTTCGAGTAAATAAAAGCCAATTCGACGTTTACGTAAACGAAACACAAGCAGAAGTAGATAAAGCACCAGTAAAAGAAACGACAACGAAACCAGATGAAATGTACAAAAATGAGCAACCGTCATACGGTGCTCCGACTTTCAAACGAAGGAAGGGCATGCGTGAACCTGTTGTTCCCATAATTGAGTCGGAAAGCTATGTTTTCTCGCATTCTGGAAACTTCCATTACAGGTAACAAAATCAACTTTACTTATCTCTATCATTTAAAATGTCTTGATATAACAATGATCTCATAATATCTACAAAGGATGATAAATTAGTCAGTTTTTTATGTCATAAATAACAAAACAGCTAAAACGTGTCCTTGAGTATCAACGTGCTATGATCGTAGCAGGTCGAGATGTGTATATATCTGCGGATATCCTATATGCAATGATCAAAAGACTCTTCATCATATCATCTTAATGACTTGTGAAAAATGCACAATCTATTTGAACTAATGTTATTCCGCAGTTACGAAGGTGGTGATGGCACAAAAGCCTACGAGAGGGGTCAACTAAAACAATCAAATGGAGGTGCTGGCAGTGCTGTTGAAGGAAATTTCTCCTACAAAGTAATAAAGTGGTTTATAACCGCATTTGTGTTAATCTTAACCTTAACATAAAATTAGTTTAAATCATTGACGAGATGCATGCATGTTTTAACAATACATTAACATGTGACAAGATTTTAATTTTTGGTTGTATTCGAATATTAGTCATTATTTAAGGAAATATAATTATTTTATAGAGACATCTATTATATTATCATTTAATGTAGTAATTAAGACAATCCTTATTTCTTATATTACTATCTGCAACAAAAGCATTTCAATTTCAACTCTACTACACTTTCGACCTTTTCCATATAACACTATCTAACTGCATGACTCAGTGGCTTCTTGAGCGAAGGTGTGTCGCGGTTTGGTTGAAGAGCGCAGAACAATTCTTTGTGGATCATAAAAACTTTATTGTTCTAATCTTTTGGACATGGACCCACTTCACAGGAAGAAATCAGGGTAGGGCAACATTAGAAAAAGGTTGAAACTAATTCACGGTGACTATATCTAACAATATTAACTACTAACAACATTTATACATATTTTGTATGCCTTAAAATGTAGAGTCGTAGTTCCATAGAATATACTGTGCAGATAATGTATTGCATTTGATGCAGTTTTGGTGACAAACCATATCAGTATTAGTTATTTAACCAACTAATTATTGTTTAACAGCTGTTTCCCACAAAACCTTCGTAATAATTAAATCAAAATATAAAACAGTACTGTATAAACTTATTGATCTAATATATATATACAACATTATTTATAGTTTGTCATTTATTTATTTGGCAACAGTAACAACGGTACAGACTTCCTCTAGAGCGAGCCATATTTTCTTGTGCCAAATCATATTATTTTCCAAGTTATACTGTTTAGTAGCCGAATATAAGATTTGCAATTTAAGACGTCTTTTTTCAGTACTATAATATTAGTCCATATTTGTATAACTTTCAGGGCAACGACGGAAATGACTACAGTTTGCAATACACAGCTGACGAGAACGGATACAGGCCAGTCGGTGCACATTTACCCACACCGCCACCTATTCCTCCAGCAATCAAACGAGCTTTGGAATACTTAGCCACCAAGCCTTCAGACTTCGAAGATGTAACGGAGAGAATGAGGACCCGTTTCTAAAAGATTATGAAAAGGTGATATACATAAATTCTGATGTTTTAAATGAGTTGATATTGAAGTCAAGACAAGCTTTATTTTTTAAATGGCTTATACTGAAATCTGTTGCCACAGAATATATTCCATTAAACCGTTTTTGGGCTTATAAAAATTAGTTATTATTGTGATGCTCTCATAATAAGATGTTTTATATTACACTAAGACAATTATATAAAAATAGTTCTTAAACAAAAGAGCTATTACATACTTAGAAATAAAGGGAGATTAGGAACAAGTAGGTGGTAGATTATGTTCGTGGATATAAAATGGGGGAATTAAAAGTGACAAAAAACATGCATCTTTTGCAGCAATGGAATATAAATCCGAATTTAATTTTACAAAAATTTTTTTGACTTCACATATGGTTTGCATCGAATATTGTGATAATACTAAAATGATCTTGCCATTACGTATTGGCTATTGTTTTATATTTTATATTGAAATTATATTGTTTACGATTTTGTTTTATATAATAAAGAGAGAAAAGACATTATCTTCTCAATTTGAATAATTATGTTGATGTTTTATTGTTTTTTTGACAATTATAATATAGATAACTTCAGCACATTCAGACAATGGGTATTGTATCTGGGATATTTGTGAAGGCTAATGGTGTTACAATGGATATATATTTTTAAAAATACGTTATGCACACTGAATAAGTTGAGTAACAATTTCTTATTGCAACCAAATGTGACTGGTTCGCATTTGCAGCTAAAATGTAATTACTAATTATTTATTTTTAGTTGTTACAGTTTCCGTAAACAATATCAAGTTTGCTTACGTGCGTGATATTTAAAGCATGATAGCAAAACAAAGAAAATAATACAATACAGAAAGGTTCAATGTAAGTCTGATAATCAGTCTGAATGCAGGAGACTAACATTTTTAACCAGATAATGACTTACTGATGTTTATCGTAATTACAATTAATTTACTAATAAATTAACGTTAATGAAAAGCTTTCTCTATCCCAAATAGGTGGAAGCAGGTCATCCACAAGAAGATATAAATAAGGTGATGTCAAATATCTACTTCGCCATCACCTACATTAACAATTGACATTACAAAATTCCTGCTTCCATCTCTAATCATATTATATAATCATCAATGGCAAAACAATTGTTCCACATATTACGGTAACGTTTTGTATCAAGTTTTTTATTTAAAAATTTAAATACTTTTCATCAATTGTTTCATAGTAAAATTACTAAAATATGTCAAATGTAGACTTTTAATAAGCTGACGTTAAATATTTTACTTACACTTGTTTTCAGTACCGAGATACACATACAAAGTAACCTATGCGTTATCCCAGGCTAAAATATACCTACCTCTCTCAACTTCAAATTTCATTCAGATCCACTCAGCAATTTTGTGTGGAAGAGTAACAAACATCCATCCAATATACCTAATAATAGGAATACCTATCCAAACGTATCCAAAAGATTTATTTGACATTTTATCAACAGTCAAAATGTCAAAAATCATTTATTTCAATTAAGTAGGCCACAGTAGACACTTTTGAACGTCAAGCAAAAAGAAAAATAATATATTTCAATAGGTTTAAATTAATGCGTGTCAGTCTGTCCGTCTGTCCTCTAGTGAAGCTATTTGCCCGTTCCAAAGTGTAGAATCCGATGGAGAAGAACGAGCATGAAACTCCATGGTTACTCTTTTTCAATCAGTTTTACAATTCATTTCTTTGTTACATCATTTAGTCGGTTCAGATATGTGAGAACTTATATTCTCATCATTGACCTTGAGACGCTCACGTTTTCAAACAGGTTGTAAGAGGACTGCTTTTATAAGTACCAAGATATGGTGAGACCACTCTTGCTTTCTATGGAGAATATTTTCACTGACATTTATTTACTTGTATATGATGATGTCATGCCTAAGCACAGATTATGAGTAAGCAGCTATTGTAGTTACATACCTATGTGAGTGTTCATATTACTTACTAGCTATTGTCGCGCGGTTTCACCCGCTGCTCGGCTCCATTTAATCGTAGCGTGATGTTTTATGGCCTATAGCACTCAAGAACATTGTAGCTATTTACCAGTGAAAGAATTTTGGCAATCCGACCAGCGGTTCCAAAGATTACCCCCTACCAAACTTACAATTTTTTCCTCTTTATAATATTAGTATAGTACTTATAGATACAATGATTCTCTAACTATTTGCTTGTTGGTTCGTGTTTTATTTTTTAACCAAAAGTTAAAAGGTTAATTACGTTATTGTAGCCTTTAAATGTGTATATATGCAATATATGAAATCTATGAAACACTTCAATATCTATCAAAACTTTTTGTAGCTATCAATATTTACTGCATGCACTTTTTGCTGTGAAGGTCAATCCTTTTTTGCGATGAATACTACTTCACTTTTTTAACGGTTATATATGATGCACTAACCGCCCACTTCCAAAACTTCAAAGTGGTGTGGCGTGGTGATTTTTAAGTTTAAAAAGTTTTTAAGACATCCCTTACCTATGGTGGAGGAAAATGTTATGAGGAATCCTGGACTTATCATTTCTAATCTTAAGTTTGAAATTGCCAATCCAACTTGATCAAGCTTGGTGATTAATGCTAAAACCTTTTCCTTGTGAGAAAATCTTTTTGCTCAGCAGTTGGCATTGATTGTGGGCTGATGATGTATGATAACGCTGGTGCCTAAGTACCTAACTAAAGTAAAATTCCTCGTTAAGCAATAGACATTGATTTCTGTAATTTATAATAATTTTTGAAAACTTTAGTTCTAAAGCATTAAAAAGGCAGACGGTCTATCAATGAAACAATGAAACAATGAATTTATTTTTGCAAATAGGCCATAAAACGGCACTTTTACACGTCAATTTATATGTAAAAAACTAGATGAAGCCGGCATTTCCTATCCGACTACTCTGAGAAGAAATGCCGAAACAAACTCAGAGGTCAGTCTCTTTTCAAGTCCAGACAATGTAAAAATAACATAATGTGAGAGAACCGTGCAAGTTCATTCTGTAGTGGTCTTTTGATGAAAGAACCACACCAGTTTAAGTGGACCCGTTCTGAAGACAGGCACGCAAGTGTCAGTTTGCAACCAGCATAGCAAGTGCTGCTGAGTTGTCCGACGAACAATACCGATCTAAAGAACATTTGGTTGGGTCACGCAAGTACTCAAACTGTCAGAACGCAGATAACTGGTAGTCCAAAAGCGCGGCAAGTCTCACACGGTCCTTACACTAACAATAATAGAAAATAATAATAATGTCAATAAATAATTATAAAAATAATAAATAAAATAAAAAATGTCAAATAAAAATAAAAATGTCACAATAGGTGATAATGTCATTGTTAAAAAAATAAACGTAATGTCAAATTGTATATAAAAAGCGTAACTTATGTTACAAACATGTCAACATGACCTGTGCAGAAGTTACAGCGGCTCATTCCCAAGCCTGACTATCTTCTAAGTAGTCTTTTATTTTATAAAATGCTTTACAGTAAAGTTTAGCCTTTATTACACTTTTAAAATTATTGAGGCTCAAATTTTGAATATCCCTAGGAATTTTATTGTAAAAGCGTATACATTGACATCTAAACGAACTACTTATTTTCTGAAGCCTGGAGGCGGGGACAACATATTTGTTTTTCCCCCTCGTGTTAATATTATGTATATCACTATGCTTCTTAAATAAGCTTTTGTTTTTATGAGCGTGAATTACATTTTCATAAATATATTGTGAGGGAACCGTCATTATCTTAGTTTCCTTAAATAATTCTCTGAGCGAATGCCTCGGACTAAGATTATAGATTGATCGAATAGCCCTTTTCTGCAGAACAAAAATAGACTGAATGTCAGCAGCATTCCCCCACAACAAAATACCGTATGACATGATGCTGTGGAAATAACTAAAATAAACTAACCGCGCTGTATCTACATCTGTTAAATTTCTAATTTTTTTAACGGCATATGCTGCAGAACTGAGCTTCTTCGACAAGCCATCTATATGTGGGCCCCACTGGAGCTTAGCGTCCAGGGTTATACCTAAAAAGACAGTTGTATCTACAGGACTCAACTCCTCGCCCTTGACAAGCACACTGGTTTTAACCTGTTTAACATTTGGTGTTGTGAATTTAATACATTTAGTTTTAGTTTCGTTAAGTAATAAGTTATTAACACCAAACCAGTGAACTATTTCTGAGAGAGCACTGTTTACATTGTCAATAACTAATTGTCGTCGTCTGAGTTTGAATAATAGTGAGGTATCATCAGCAAACAGCACTATCTCGTGTTTATCCCTTACAAGGTAAGGCAAGTCATTAATATAGATAAGAAATAAAAACGGGCCGAGGATAGAACCCTGCGGAACACCCATCCTCACAACAGATCCGGCAGAAACCACTCCGTTTACTTCAACTCTCTGAACCCTATTACTCAGGTATGAGGTAAGAAGGTCCAGAGATGCACCTCTTATTCCGTAATGGGATAGCTTCCTGATCAGTGTATCATGAAGCACACAATCGAACGCCTTGGATAAATCACAAAATATTCCCAAAGCGTCGCTTGAGTCCTCCCATGCGTCGTAAATGTGATTAAGAAGTTCAACACCGGCATCAGTTGTTGAACGACCCCTAGTAAATCCGAACTGTTTCGCATGTAATAATTTATTTCTATTAAAAAATCTTTGCATTTGATCTAAAATAATTTTTTCAAAAATTTTACTGAACGTAGGTAGCACTGAAATCGGTCTAAAGTTAGTGGGGTCAGAAGTACTACCTGATTTAAATAATGGAATTATTTTACTACATTTCATAAGATCAGGAAACACACCACAGTCAATACAGTTATTAAAGATTTGAGCTAATACAGGTGCTACAATAGTTATTACAGAGCTTGTAATATACACAGAATTACCCCATAGATCTGCAGTCTTTTTGTTATTCAAAGTATTAAAGATTTTAACAATTTCTTTGTTATCTATGTGCTCGAAGGAAAACCCTGAATCGCAAGCTACAACATGTTTTTTGAGTAAAGACTCTGCAACAGTGGGAGATGAATTCAGTGACTTAGTAGTGGATACAGGAATGTCGGAAAAGAAATTTTCAAAAGCAGTTGCAATTTCTACATCCGCTTTTATTAACTTATTATCAATTACAAGACTATGTTGATTTATTCTCTTTTTAGACCTTCCTGCCTCACTATTGATAATATTCCAAGTGTCTTTGATAACATTGGTACTGTTCTTTATCTTAGAGCTTAAGAATAGTGATTTAGCAATAGAGCAAACCTTTTTGAATAATTTAGAATAGTTTTTTACATATTCACTGAATTCAACAGTGTTAATATATGTCCGCTCATTATAAAGCTCATAGAGGCGATTTCTACTCTTATAGATACCAGTGGTTGCCCAATCACCGAAAGACGCATTGCTATTAGCTGGTATAGTTTTATCTGTAAAAGTAGACTTAAACTCTGTTAGGTACATTTTAAAAAACTTATCATATAAAGTGTTAGAATTCTTATAATTCAACAACAAAGGCAATTTGTTGCTGAGTTTAGCTTTGAAAAATTCAATGCGTCTTTTAGTCTTCGGATTAACTGTGATAAATTGTTTTGACACTATATTTATTTCATTTGTTAAAGAAATTAACTGACCACAATGATCGGAATCAAGTACTGAAATTATTTCTTTGTTAACTGGCACAATGTCAGTATAAATATTGTCCAGGCAAGTGGCACTAGTGGGTGTTATCCTAGTTGGCTCCAGAAACAAATTCGCAAGGTTGTATGAAGAAAATAAACTTACAATTTTTGTGCTTAAACTACATTTTTCTAATAAATTTATATTAAAATCACCACATGTAATGATGGATTTCTTTGAATTTGTAAGTTTACTAAGAACTTCATCCATTACTGTTTCAAAACAGTCATACAAACCAGAAGGTGGTCTATACACGCTTAATACAATAAACCGCTCCAATTCCACACAGGCTATTTCAACAGTACGCTCAACAGAGTAACTAACTATATCTTTGCGATCTTTGAATTTAAGCTGGTTACTTATCAGTATAAGTGACCCACCATGTATAGCGTTTTCTCTGCTGAACGAGCTACCAATCTGGTGCTTACCAAAATTGAACATGAGCTGATGGGGTTTTAGCCAATGTTCAGTAATACACAAAATATCCACATTATTACAATTTAAAAATAACTCTATTTCCAATTCTTTACTCATAAAGCCTTGAATGTTTTGGTGAACCAGATTAATAACCTTATTACTGTTTAATTTGCAAGAGGTTGTCTCTATTGTCTTATTAAATATATCTAATATATATATCAATTGTTCTAGCATGTGATAAATTCATATTTTCTTGCCATGCCTTTATGAGCCACGCCAGTCACGACATATATTTATGTACTTGTTAATTATTAGAAATTAGTTTATCACAACAAACAATACATTAGGTACCTGTTGTATATTTTCGCAGAATTAATATATTATCAAAAACATCCGGCTGAAACCTGACTATTTTGTAGTTATTGACACCAGTTTACGTATATTACGTATGACATCAACAATTTATCACTTACATGACAGTTTCTTAGATAGGATCCATGCTAATGAAAAACCAAAGTAAATATGGCCTATTGTTTTTAACCGACTTCATTAGTACCTATGTAAGTATATAAAACCTTGATAAGGCTTCATTTGGTAAACTAGTAGAAAGATGGGGTTCTTTCTTATTTACGAAAAAGGTTATATAATAACATTAGTAAATAACAGTCTTCTTTTTATATATTTTTTTATGTAAACTTAGCGTTGTTTTCAGCAGCTACGATTATTACACGTAGGTATGTAGAAGATGAAAATAAAGTCTACCGCAAGTTATGATTCTATATATATTTGAAGTGAGGGAGTGCCATGCTTTGGCACGAATGGGTCGGTTCGGCCGGAGTTATACCATGGCCTCTGAGAGAACCGGCGTGAAACAACCACAGCGTTGTGTTTCACCGTGTGACTGAGATTTCCGGAGGCCCGACCCTTCCCCTCCCCTTCCTCAAATCAAATTGCCTATCCTTAAATCCCTAATAATCCACAAATTTAAAATGAACCACCCAGGATTCTAAGAAATTATAATTATTTCGAGAATAAGTAGTACTGTTTATCGATAACAATAAGTAAGGGAAAGGACCAAGCTCATGTGATTTGGGGTTTAGGGTTATACCTAAGTATAATTTGCCATGGACATTAAAAAACCAGAATTACATTTTGCAATGCATCTTTGGCACTGATTTTGCTTTTATTTAAATAAATATACAAACATTTTATTCAAAACTCAATCATTTTCTATCACAGTTCAGTCATAGTACATTCTTTTTTATATGATTTTTATTGCTTTTTATATTATATTATTATAAAGGTTTAATTGTAATATAGTTTTGTAAATAGAATTTAAATATGCTTTTTATATTTTTGATTTATTTATTAAAAAAAAAAACATTTATCTTATCTAAAAAAGACTGGCAATGCATAGAACGCATAACGAGATCTTTTTTACTATAAAACATGTAAAAAGTTCGTATTTATGCTACTTTTTTTTCAAAAGCATTAAATTCTATTTGCAAGACTATACGAGTATTCGTGGGGTTACAGGTACGAAGGATGGTCAGGTCGTTTAGGCTTCAGCCAGTGGTTCGGGTCTTGGTCTAAGCTCTGGATGGTGGTGGTGGGGGGAGGGTGGCAAGATAGTCGAGTGCCTTCTGAATTGCAGGCGGTATTGGTGGTGGAGTCGGCAAATGAGCGCCCTAGAATAAAAACATAAAAATAATATTAGACACAATCAATACAAACAAAACGACACCTAATCCCTCTATTGGTTACGTCTTATGTTTAACTAGCTTCCACCAGCGGCTTCGCCCGCGTGGAATGTTGATAAAAAGTAACCCATGTCTTATTCCAGTGTGTACCCTATGCCTGTGCCAAACTTCATCCCGATCCGTCTAGCCGTTTTGGCGTAATTGAGTAACAAACATCCAAACATCGTAACTTTCGCATTTATCATATTAAGTAAGATAAGATTCTTTAAACCTGATTTGTAAAGTAATGGTAAACTCAATGAGTAACTTATTCTTAAATTATTTCTAGATCATTCAGTTTTTAAACTGCCATGTCCGACATGGCAGTGTACTTTTGTTAAACAATACGAGGTAAAACAGGTTTAGTGTTAACTCAAAATGGCTAAAACCAATAGGCATTTAAATCACTTGACTCTTGTCACCATCTATAATTATGATAATCTTATGAGCTCATCTTTAACACAAGGTATCATCATATAAAACCGTGACAAATAAAGATATTCCAATATTAATAAAAACAAAATATTTAAACAATTCCGTAAAAAATTACGTCATCGTGCGTCTTTATAGTCTATTTTTGCTAGGATGACCGAACTGTTTAACAAAAAATCTCTATTCTAAAGGTTGGGCTGCATTCTTTAACATATCGATATGAAATGTAATAGATTCAGCATAAGCCTTGTTTTCGTAGCATTTTTTATATTAGCTACGTGACAAAAAATAGCGAGACCAATTAACCATTACCATTTTACTTGCTCACATGTTGTAGACGAATTTTAATGATCTCTTCTATGAACAATGCCTATCATCACACCGAGTTTTACTTTCAGCCCAAATATCATATCGATTCACATGGTGATTGAGAGAGTAATAAAAAGACTCTCGCTTTAGTTACCTACTAAAGCGAGAGTCTTTCCAGACCCAAATTGTGCTTCAATGAGCATCATTCCAGGTTTTAAAATGTATTCTATTTCTGAGAATTTTGAAGATCTAAAGAAACCCAGCAAACAACTAGACTCGTATTACATAAAAAAAATTACCATAGAAAAAGGTGTGAAGTGGTCCTTGTAAATAGTTATGTCTGCTTTACTAATTATAATAAGAAAGATAATATCACCTCTGGTTTGAAGCCATTGTCATCATCAGCAATGTAGTTCAGATTGATGACGGTGCCATCAGGCGCGGTGTAGCTGAAGCCTCCCTGAGCTACGATGACATCACCAGCGTCAGGACCACTGGCTTTCTTCAATGTACCAGCCTCTTCAGCCTTGATGCCATTTTCAGTCTCATAGCTGGAGAAAATAAAGGAAATTGGAAAGTGTTTATTACACTCAGAGTATTTTAACCTAACAATCTGAGAATAAAACGTATGTAGAAATAAAAAAAAAGTACTGTCAAATGAAACTTATTGCCAACAGTCTGGTTTTAACTTTAGAGACATTTTTTTTTTTGATGTAAACTAATTTCTTAATTCACATCCGATTGATCCGTATGATGTCGTGATGAGCGAATATTTAGTTATTAGAACTTATTACTACTATTTACTTCTTTATTTGGAGCAGGTGTGATTTAGGAGAATCCTAAATAAAACTGACGTATACTACTGAAAATAAAAACCCAAAGTACATGCCGTGCTTATTGTATTAAGAAATATTAATGCGTCATCCAAAATTGAAAAAAGACGATTCTTTTTTAAGACAAAATATTCTGGACAAAGACACAAAGACTTTCTTGATATGAATTGAACCCCTTACTAAGTAGTAGAATACCTGTTGACAATCGACTAACATTGTTCAGTGACAACTTACAAGTAAGGTCTCGATGTGCCTTTTCACGTGCATCGTAAATGGAACGGTAAGAATTTTTATTGTGTGATCAAGGTTACAAGGTTTGCGCTAGATATTATAGTCATAATATATCTCAAGAAATGCTGACACGACAAAATATATAGAAAAGAATTCGGTCAAGGGTGTAAGTGATCCTGCCGAAGCGTGACATTACATTCAAATATCAATGTGATGTGTTTACTAAACGGTTTTACATTGTTTCTTTTCTTTGAAATAAATGAAAATACGAAAACATTTTAATAATTAATAATAAATTAATAATAATAATGTTTATTCTGTAACTTAAAATTAAAAACATACATTACAACATGGAATACCCTTTTAAGCAAAGATATGCTTGTGTTAGGACATCCCGCTCCTCCACAAATTTCACAATTTAATTACTAAGAGGTATTTAGAGGTATTTAGGATTTGAGAGCAAAAATCATCAAATGACTTTTTTTAACCCAGGGTGAGGCGTGAGGCAGTGTCAGACTCTTACCACCCCGTTTCTTCTCCTGCTTCAGACCATTTTCGATTGCTATGCAGACATTGCTTTGTATTAATTCACTATTTTTCGATGAAGTAATTAAGAAAAAGGGTACTTTATAGTAAATCCAGTGATGTTATTAATAATATTTTTTTTTTGTGGTTGTGAACCTTGAGATGTTGTCGCCTTTTGTTCTTGAACTTTATTAGATACTGATACTGACCCAGAGACAGTACAAATAGAGGGTCAAATCAATGATGGTGCACTTGCTAATGTAATATATTACTCGGAGGCACGTTATGTAACGTTGTCATATGTATTTTAGTATTAATTCTGTGAACAACACGTCGACAGTCTATAGGCAGTAAAATAATGTCTGCTACTACCAAATCACAAAAGCACATTTATTTTATTGTAATTAATGACAAACACTATTTTTCTAATCGATTTGAGTTATCTATAATAAGAAGGCGATTGAAATCGTATCCTTTAAAATTTTTATATCCTTGTTTATCAATATTTTTCTCATTTTATTGCCGATCGTGTTTAATTTTCCCATAAATAAAACTTTGTTTCCTATATAGAGACTGGTTTACCATATGTATGTATTTATATTTCAAATGTAGATAGGAAATCGCTGATGAGCGGCCTTGACATCATTAATATATCTACAACAAGTTTTTGCCTGGTTTAAAAAAAAACACCAGTATTGATTTACTCATAACCTATTCCATACCATTTCCATAAACCACTAATTTCCCCATCCTCCAAAGTCGCATTACCACTTACCACTAAGAAAAATAGCAACCAAACGTAGGCCCATTAAAAAACAGGTCTTAATGAAAATTACAAATTTGAATCTAGAAAACTAACATTTCTAAACTACTCGTAAAAGCCCTATCATTATTTGATTAGGCTGCAAAGAATAATATTGGCTGGTACGAGTAATTAAACCTGAAAAACTGCAGCTGGTTATAAACATATTCGTATTTTTAACAAAATCTTCGCTGTAGGTCTTCAAATTTCATAAATTATATTTGTACATTGCTCTTCTCTAACAAACCGCTACGAAGTTACAACAAATACACGAAGTTCGCGTTACAGATTAACACCTAATACGATAATAAATTACACGCCGAATTATCAAACGCCACTTGACTACTGTCTCACAATTTAGCTTAGAAGAAATAGAGACGGCATGATACTTAATGCTCAGTTGAGATTTATTGGTGTTTAGGCGTACGGTCGTAAGGCTGTCATTGTCGTCAGTGCCAAATATTTGCTACTTAATGCATATGGTAAATATTTAGTTATTTGTTCATTCTATTTATGTTATTAGTGTTATTATCACAATGATTTAAATAGACGTGTGAGTATGTGCCAATTCGACCCCTAAAAATCTGTCACTAAAAAGAAACTCTTAAAATCAAGCCCTAAAGGCTCGAAAACCACTATACTTGCAGCACATTAGAAATTTACTTAGGAAATATGGTATATGGTATAATATTGAAGTGCCGTATGTCTGAACTTATTTACTAACCTACTTGCCCACTTATTTATACTCAAGTTTTTCACCAAACAAACGTAATAATTTAATTCTAGTTTAATGGATATTTTGAAGTAATAGAACTTTAACTTCGAAATACGAGGACTGCTAAAAAAATATTGTGTACCTGTAACGATAAGATCCGTCTGGTTGCTGGTCGAACTCTTGTGAGACGATTGCTATTACTTTCTCAGCAGGTCCTTGCGGCGCCGATAACGCTACTGCCACGACTCCCAACAGAATTAGAACTCTCTGAAAATAATTAAAAATCATTTTGTAAAATAAATGTGAAAACCAAATTATTGATTAGGCAAATAATTGATTGACATGTTTATTCATCACCATTATTCATAAAACCGTAGCCTGTAAGATACAAATCTTTTGTATTCAGAAGAAGATGGAGTGTAAAAATCTAGTACGTAAGTAAAAAGTTTAATATAAAACGCCTGCAGCATCTAAAGAGCAAGTTTTACTTATGAGTAAAACTATTACAAATAAATAAGGCACGAACAACTTCGATTACTATTACGTTTTATATTCGCATATAAATATGCAGCTCTTTTAGGTTAACATCAACGTAGGACTATAACATGCAACAAGGTCGTTGAAGACACATGTCGACCTACAATCACAAGGACACTGCCACTAAGTCCTATAGTTTATAGCTCAAAATCTATGCTCATGTCAATGAAAGATTTATTGCCCACTTAGAAGCAATATCATTTTCAACATTATTCACAATCAACGAATCAACCAATTAATTTCTATAGAATAAATTTTAATTAAATGAATGGATGAATAATTGCAGATGAGTTTGATGCCATCTAAGATTTATTACCCTAATTTTTATAGATTCAAATAATGTCCAGTCACCAAAAACGGTGCAAGGTTAAGAACTCGCCCACGTAGAATGAGCAAATTGTTTTGGTTAATTCTGATTTAATTAGACAAAAACCTTGTGTTTAGCTCCATAACAGAAATGTTATATTGGGTAATCCCTTAAACAAACGACAACTGCATAATAAGACGTTTTGATATGAGTATAATATGGCGATCTATCACTTATGATCCATGGACGTCAAATAGGCCAGGCGCGCATCATAGCTAAACAAACTTATTACATTCAACCTCTAATTGTATCCACAACACAAGACAAACACAATTAGCTGTGCAGCCTAGTGCCCGTTTGTGGCACGCGACCTTCACGCGACAATCACGCAAGTGACACACGCAGGTTTATGCATTTTATCGTATTTCGACAGAACATCTTTAAATAACATTAAATTAATAATGATAGTATCTGATATTTTCAGCAAAGGAAAGTATGACTTCAAAAGTCTTTCCAGATTAAATTAGTTTTGCTTTGCGTCTCGGTTCCAGCTTAGGCCGGCGTGGGCTACGATTCCCAAGTAAATATTAATAGTAGAGTAATGATTATGCTTGAGAATGGTTTCATGCGAGTTCTGGCGAGAAATAATAGATGAAACGTTTTAAAATTACGATTGAAAAGTGTTATATAATAGATACTGTTTATTTGTATGTATTTACCATGTAACACTTTTATTTTCTAATATTTTCTTTCGAGATATATTTAAATCGTTGTTCGTGATTCATATATGCAATCGAAAAATATTAATTGAATATGTTATGATTATTTTTTAAGTGACGTTGGTGTTTCAATTATCTCTTCTTAATTAAGCTGGTTTTAAAACTGTAATTGTGTGAATATTTATATACCGATACGATCAAAATGTAACAGATGCGAATCTCCATTTAAGGAAGGGATTAGTCATCTAATTCCCTAATGCAACTTTTGGGCTACTGATAGACTTGATGACTACTGTGACTACACTTTGGTACAATACATCAGATAGGACAGGATGTTGTCCGTCACTCATATATTTATAAATCTTCCCAAGGCAATATGGAAAAATAAAGCAAGGCGATATTAATTATTTACGCAAAAAAAATGATGTGATAACATATGACTCTATGACTACTTATATTTAGCTATTCTTGATCCAATCAACTTTAAATAGAAATAATTATGCTGTTATAATACTGTTTTCAAGAAATTTTGTGACTGAATCATTTTGTAATTTTAGCACATCGATGTTTAATAATGATAAAATGTATTATTTACAAAGAACCTTCTCATGTCAAAGGCACAGATGCATATGAAGATTATTGGTTACACAACCGTATAATTCCAGTCTTGCTAATACTTTGAACTGTGGTCAAATCGGTGTCAATACAAGTACATCAGTTTATTGTGTATTTACGGCATTTGACATTATATATAAGAAGGTAATTGAGGAATAGAGATAAAGATATTTATGTTACGAAAATTAAACAGACCTGCTGATTTTTGGTATAACATCTATCCTATGTCCTTTCTCGAGTTCCAAACCATGACTGTACCAAATATCATAGGAATCGGTTCAGTGCAGGTTTATACGTGAAGAAAACACAGAAGAGTTACTTTCACATGTATAATAATAGTTTGGACTAACTCATTGGTATTGAAAAATATTATAAACTTGAAAGTTTGTAATTATATTAAATGGTTGACACTCTTTTACGTAAAAACTGCACAAGGGATCTAAATGAATCTTATATAGCACACAGATAGAATATAGTCTTAAATAATATTTAGAACAACTTTAATCCTGGTACTTTAAGCGCTGGTAGAACTAGGGAAAGAATGCTATTTCAGGTTTCCTGTTTTTAGGCTTAATTCTTAATCAAAGCCAATCTCTAAAATTCTACAAACTGAAACAACTGTAACTAGATATCACGTATTAATATGGTAACGTAATATTTAAAAGAACGAAGTGGTTTTCCATCTGACATTTTCCTCTCATTTGCCATCTGTATCTTCACTTTATTTATTAGCAATATAAATAGGCTGTACAAGACTTTTGACCCTCTGTAGGTAAACAAAATTTATGTTTATATGCACCATTTAGCAACCCGTTTTAATTAACCTTTATGTCGACAGGATAATTAGATGCTAATACTCTTCAAACTTTAATTATCAGTCTTTGAAAAGAATAAAATCATTGAATGTCTTACTAATAACTACATTGTTGTAGTAATATTCGGTGTCTTGTATTTATATTCAATAGTTCGATTTTAGAGTTGGTCGTTCTACGAGTTACATAAAGGTTTCAAACCAAGTACTTTTTTTGTGAGGGAAAATCATCAAATGACTTTTCCCGCCCAGGGTGGGGCGGGAGGGCGGTGCCAGACTCCTACTGAGTAAAAACTCCCCTGTTCCTTCTCCTACTCTGGGCCGAGGTCGCGGTGCCTTATTGCGCTTACCCCACAACCCCGGCTGAACATCAGCTCTATAGGGCCCCGCCTGGTGGTGGTCTATTGGCTGTGTGAGGCGCGCGCGGAACGCTACGCGCGGTATGCTCAAGTCTGGTTCAGATCGGGTGGCGAGCTACCCTTACTCGCCGTCCGCAGACCCGCGCTTACGGTGGCCGGTGATCGTCTCTTGCAAACCAAGTACTGGATACCTTTCGAGTGATGACAATGATGAAGAGGTATTAGAAGACATTAAAAAGTAGGGGTCTCAAAGAAAATAGATTGAAGTAACACTTGAGTTGTGTTTCATTCGAGAAAGGTTATAGGGGATTCAAACCTACCGTCCCCTCCCTCCCCACTTCCCCCGAAATTTTCCAATCCCCAACCTGAATCCTTCAGGTGGTCCTCACAGTGACGAAACGAGCCCGTTTCCTTTCGCTTGATACGAAATTGGTACCTCCAGAAACTTCCGTGTTCGACAAGCGCCGTCGCAAGGCAAAAGGTGAGGACGCCGCGGCGACAACAGCGAGCCCGATAACTATAAACCCAAAATGCCCTTGCAACTTTACTTTTATTAAGGTACACTCAATGTTGACCTATGACATGGTTCTAATATTACGTGTACGTTAACATAGTGAGCTAGAGTTACGAAGGTTGGATACGCTGATACGCTTCACGGGCCATTAGCAAAGCCTCGTTAGTAATTGATATCGACTAGAAACCGCATCGATTAGTGGAACATGTTACACAGATTTTGAGATAATTCTCAGTTCTTATGAACTACTAGCTAGCTACTCTCGCGCGGTTTCACCCGCTGAGCTCCATTTGATAGTAGCGGGATGTTTGACAGCCTTTAGCACTGAGGAACATTGTACCTATCTATCAGTGAAAGAATTTTGGCAATCCGACCAGTGGTTCCAAAGATTACCCCCTACATACATATTTACAAATTTTACCTCTTTATAAAACCTATTAGTACCTAATATATAGGTTGACTTCACGGATGGCGCAGTATCTGGGCAACTGGCTCCTGTCCCGCTCGGAACTACTCTTTACGTAAACCACAAATTGGTGTTATATCTAAGGTTGAGTCTGATATGTATGTGAAATAAGTGCAACAAGAGTTGCCTTGTTGAGTATTTCACAAAAAGGTAATAGACTTCTTGTACTATTGTCAGATCTATCATACTATAATTTACTATTTATCCAATTCATCATTCACATCTCACAACTATTTTTCGTTATCGTTTCTTTTCGTCATTAAATTAATACTTAACTTTTTTATTATTAGGTTTAAATGTTTTATTTTAATGCAAACAATAGAGATTAGAGATTGCTTCACGAATAAGCTAAGGTATGTAGGTAAGTATTTAAACACTTGTCAATGTAAAGACGACCTACGATTTATGCGTATTTAGGACATTAAATTATTTATGCTAATATAATGACGAATGAATCGGATAATGCAGGTAGGTATATACATAATTTATAGAAATTACATCATATTTCGTCAAAATTATTTCATCTTCAAGAAAATGCAAAGAGATTAAATGAAAGTCACTACTATCACTTACGAAGGCGAAGTACTAGGTATCTCAGTCTGGTTAAACATTTTCCTACTCAAAAATATTTTTATCTCATTCAGAAATCCTTAACTTCGAAATGCCCTCTCCACAGTACAAACCTCACATCAGACATGACCTAGTATTTGCATTGTCATAACACACACGTAGTAATTATACAAACTAACCACTTAGATACGCACAGGTTACCGTGGGTACAACAAAAGGTTTTCAAGTCGCCTTTTGTCACTTACAAACTATTCTTAACGCCTAAATAGTTGCGGATGGTGAGCATTGCAGATGTCGGCACACCGACTATTTTGCAAGTGTATTGAGTTGTGGGAACATGTCATAGAATTCGAGAGTTCAAGCGAAAACAATGTACCTACTACGTGTAAAAACAAAAGGTGTGCGCCTAATTAGCTGCTCGCACGCTTACCTATTAATACAGGTCCGGACTCAATTACTTTTTGTAACAGAAAGTTATATTAATATCCCTATGTTAGTTCTCGATACATTTGATTGTTTAGTTCAAATAAAAACACTTTTTTTTAAGATTTTTTTTGGAACGCTACCTTATTCTAGTACTTTTTCTTGTATAGCGTTTTTAAAAGTGTTTCAAAAATACTCAGAACGACATCTTGTGGATAACAATGCGTTGTTCCGTGCAGAAATCAAATCCACGACACGTTGCACGACAGCTAGCCACTGTGGCAACCGTACAGTTAAGTAGCTATTGCGAGACATACAATTTTTTTGAAAATAGCGACTTATGCGCGCTCTTTTCTCTTAGTACTTTATACATAAGATTAACTTGAATCTAGTAGAACTTCCCGCAGTATACTACTACAGATAAGACATTATTTTCAATAAATAAAAAACAAAATATAAACCTTATTTCATTTTTTATTCCTCAACAGAAAAATGGTTTGTGTGATGTCTGACAACATTAATTATTAGATCAGATTTGTTGATCAAGCTCAAAATTTACTAAACGAATGCAAATATACCTAAACATTAATTTTATAATATTTTCTAATTATTATTTATTTTAAAAATAAAGATGCTAATAATATCATTGCGACTCGAACGACCCTGTCAAAACATGTCCTATTTTTATACATTTTTTCTTTTTCAATACTTACATATTAATTATATTATTTATATTTAAGTAAAATATTTTTAGAATCTATGTTTGAGTCAGTCAAGCTTACATAATTATTGATTGTTTAAAATATTCACGTGACTTATTGAATATTATTAATATAAAATTTTATTTTTTAAATTATGTTTATTTTTAACGTACTTTTCAAGTTAAACGGGTATTCTGTCGATGAGTCAAAAATTCTAAACAATGTACTTATTGTTTGACCTTCATGGCACCTACTATCTTTATTTAAGGGTATAAGAATTAATTCGTTTAGTTTTTGTAGAATTTGTTTCCCATTTTGTCATAGATTTTTTCACAGTAAATTATTATACATAATTAATTTCTAAAAATAAACAGTCCAAATGTAAATATGACTTTTCACACTTATTTTAAGAATTTAATTTAATTATTATTTTGCGACACAACTTATTTTGAATGATATTTAAATTTTTATAGATTTTATTTTTCTACAAAGAATAATTTCAGTACTCAACATCATAATACCTTCTACCTACATAGATGAAGCTAAGAACATTCCTTCTAGAAGGTTCCATAAATCACATCTTACACATACCTAATTGATAAATAAACGCGCCATTCAGTTAACTTATAATAAATCTGCATAAAACGATGGGATGCTTGTCACTGAGGTAAACAGCGCGATGGTTCGCAAAGGTTATGTATTGTGGATGCAATAAATGCACGATGCATTGCATAAGGCGCCGAGTGAACTTATGCCCTATGCACCCACTATGGTCACGTCCTTAAAAACGAGATTAATAAGAAGATGTCTCGATAATGATCGAGCAGTCCAATGAGATTTGGAATTATCTGCCTAATTACCTACTAGTAATTAAGTAACTAGTTTAGAATTGAGGTTTCTGTTTTGTGATTAATGTCTGTAACTCATTACTTTTTTTGTTAATAGAGATATGAAATAGTCACAAAATGTCTTCAGAACACCATCGAAATTATGTACCGTTAGATACTAGTCTAACCAATCCCCTTTCCTGTAATGGATAAAATGAAGAAAAAACTTTTGCTGCACATACTGATTTCATTATAGAAATTAATATTACATCTCATCATTGACCACCGTCCGATTTATCTAGGTTAAACCTAACCGTCCATTTAACGACATTTTATTGTAAGATTGCATTGATACTTGCAAGATGCAATCATACTGTTTGTAAATAGGAAGATATTAAGATAATCAATACATCCAATATTTAATATTACCTACAACTATAGGCAAACCTAAGTACATTTACAAAAAATATCAATAGAATTTTAATTTATCTTAACAACAATACCAAAGGAAATATTAACATAAAATTTAAATATCATTAATTTAAATACAGCCAAATCAATAATACGATTTATTAGGCTATTATTAAAAAATACTGAACAAAATAAAGCCCTTGAGTGTTTGTAATATTATTATCATAAATTATTTACTTCCTAATAAGATTTGATCAAAAATATGACGGTTCTACCTGCGATGGCAAGTGATGCCCTTCTGCAGTAAATGCTAAAGATACAACATCCTTCAAGGGTCAGAAGTTCACGTCCCAGCATGGGATATAATTTATAGAATCATTTAAATCCGTTTAAGGATTATTAAATAAATTTTCAATACTTTTAGATACCATAAAGCGTAAATTCTTTTTAGGTTTGCAATTAACTTATTAAGTTTCTTATCTTTACAGCAAAAAGGAGTGTCAAATCTGTTTACGATAAATATAGTATTTAAAAAATTGAAATTCATATACGTCGCCGGATACTGAGAATAGAAAACTAGACACGTTTTCCTTGCACTTCTACCTTTTTTTTGTTGAAAAGATCCATGTACATAAGTACATGACCTTCATTTGTTACAGTAAAAATGTATTAGAAATATCGGTAAAATTTATTATGGGCTTTATAATTGAGGAACACAGGCGATTTCGATTCATTACCTAATTACTTGCAAATAATTTGCATTCACAACAACTGAAAAAATATATTCATAATCTTATCTTATTTAATTTAAAGTAAAAAAAAGTTTTATAAATAAAAATCAACCCTATACAATATCTTACTAAAAAAAACTATGGTCTGAATAAAATATATCTAAAACTTACCATTGTGATATTGTATGAAGCACTTTATAATTCAGGATGAGCAAATGTGATTATATCCCATGTGGTTTGGTTCGCGGCGTGTTCGCCCGATTGTACTTACTCGTCTAATCACCTGTCCCTTTTATAGAGACGCGGATTTGTCTAGCCATTGCATGTGGCCGGGGGAGCCTGCACTCTGTGCAACACAGGGATGTACTTAGGCTCACGCTTTGAATAAAAATATATGAATTATTAAACAGATACAGCAATTTCAACCGCCAAATAATATCTTAATAGATCGTATGGAAGTAAGATTTTCAAAATAATATTTCAATTCTGGAACTCACAATTTCAGTGAAAAACGCATTTCGTTATATTTTATTCTGTAGTGTATTAATGATATAAGCTTTTCAAAGTGTTGCTTTTCAAAAATCCATAAAACTTTTTATAAATCTATTTAGTAACTTAATATGCTTACAAGTTGCGAAATATTCCCCTAAAGATAACAACACCGTTACCAAAAAATAAACATTCTTATAAATTTTATTACTTTTGTCTATTAAATTTAAATTAACAACTTTATTACTGCATTGATAATTATTTGTTTATTCATTTTAAATTTACAGTTTTTTAATGTTCCCTGCTGTTTTGTCACGACTAGTTCTCACTTTTATTATTGTTTACTCAATTTTGGGAAGTTCGGTTTTAGTTTAATTTTATTATAACGTAATTAATGCACAAAATTATGTGCGTAGTAGTCATAAAATCAAATTTTACGACTTAATTGTCTATTTTGTTTAAATAAGTTATAAATTCTTCATTGGCATTGATTTTATTGTGTACTTTGCTATCGAATATTATTCAAATAAATATTCATTAAGTTTCACTTCGTTCTATTACTAAGGGCTTCTTTGAGAACTCAGTTTTATAGACTATTTTATTGATATATGAGTGTTACTAATAGGTCTGATTACTAACGCCTTATTTTACCGGCAATAAAGGCATAAGATGAGCTATAAAATAATTAAGAATTGTGTGTATAAGCTTTGTGATCATGAAATTCAAACTTTATTATCATTGACAGTAATGTTAATCACTACTACTAACAGAACTTACTTATTTAAGACAGAAATATATCAGCGTGTCATGGCGTCTCCTGACGACCCAGTCAGCTTCATTAATGTACTATGGTTAGAGACATATATTTTTTGAGTTGTATTGTGTTGTGACGCATGCTGTCGGACGTATAAAACTGGGGCGTCATGTCAGGTTAAAAAAAATATTTAAATACAATAGTAATGCTCTCCTGTTTCTGAGGCAAATAATATGTGATTAACATCTTATTCACAATCATTTTATCATATCCTGAAAATTTATAACGGAAAAACATTATTCCAAAATCTCTTAATTGATCTGATGTTTTGGCAGGAATTCATTAAAACTTATTTCTAGATTGAGATCGTTTGCTTATTTCAGAAGTACCTAAATATTATATTTTTTAGGAGATACATCATCGTATTACTAAACCCGCCCTGAGTTGGGCTAGAATCAGTGTCATCTGACGTAAAACCTTTCTTTTCCTTCTCTTGTTCTATTCAACTCCCATACTGTACGCAGTATATTTCCCGTCACCCGGCTGGACACAACATCATATCCTCAGAGTTTATCGAGATAACATCTCGCGTATCGCATAGTCCGTCCCTTGGTCGTAACATTATCTCGTTCAACGTACAATAGAATAACTATCAAGAGTCTCGTAAAACGATGGCCAACCCAACACTTAAATGGTACGCACGCTTTATGTCAAATGCATTGCAAATTGCGCCCGCGCCACGAAGATGCCACTGCGCTTGGCATTTTACAATTTTATTTAAACTTGGAACTTATTAACTGCTTTGACATACCAACACACTTACATACGAAACATGAAGAGTCAATATACGTGCGTTCGTTAGCCGATAACATTTACACATTTAGCTAGTAGTTTGCTCATAGGTTTACCTAAAGAAGATGATTTTAAGAAATATGCTGCTTTACATTACTAACGCATTTCCTTATTTATTTGTAATGTTTTGTTTAAGGAAGCTTGTCTTGAACCGTCCTATCCATTCCACAGAGCGATGGAGGAGGAAGGAAGGGGAGATAAATAGAACATGAACATTTGGAACTAAAATTGTGACGGGAATTTGATCAGACACCCCAGTCTGAAATGATTGGAAAGTGCAATGACGTACATCGAATAATTTTCTTCATTGTATAAAAATGCTTACCTAAGGCTAAAAGTCGTTATTTAAATATTATATTCTATAAGTAAAAAATCACTACGTTCTAATTTTATAGAGAGATTTTTCTGATTTACCATATGTATTTGATGTTATACAGTCTTCTATATCGAGTTATGCAATTTTCACATAGTCATTTCATTGTAAAGTGTTCATTATATTAGGTACAGGATCGCCTTTGTAAAGGGACAACTTAATTCCTATAAAGTTTTAAGTGAGTCGTTAAAATACATCACAATTCAACCACACACTGAGTTTATGAAATACTAATAGCCATTCAACATATTTATTTCCGTATAATAAACGTATAGTTCAACGTTCATGGGCTTTTATGGATATTTTATAGCCTACATTACCCTTCTTAACATATGGATATCGGGACAAGTTTCTAAGTATTCATAAAGACAATTTGTCCACCATAGATGGGATCATTAAATTAGTCACGAGCCTATAAAAATAATTTTATTAAAAAAATATTAAGCATACAAATTAAGTTCTAAAAATAAAGATTACCTATATCGTTATTTTATTATTTGAGTATAGATTTTTATATATAAAATAAAACAAATTAAAAAAAAATTAGAAACGTTTAAATCATAGAAAAACCATGCAAGTTTCAAATAAAGAATAATATGTTAATCAGTAATACAGATTACATTTTTAGATAAATATTACATTAAAAAAACAATCAAAAACAAAACACAATCAAAATTAACTGCCAACAACTTATTATTACAAAATCGTTTAAAAATAATCATTTTATTAATTCAAATTCAAACGTGACTTAATCACGTTCGTTCTTAATACATAAAATGGAGATTTTTAATTCTAAATTCCAGTTTTTTCTGCAAAACAACAAAGTCATCATCATCAATCATTTACTACTCTGAACTACCGAATTTCGAGGACAGCGTCATCAGTGTGCATTAGGCTTTTTCAATATCAAATAACTACTTAAAATTCTTCAATAACTATAGATTATTATGTCAAAGATGGATGAATAACTAGATCGTAACAAACAAACATGTACTACATAAATAATGCATAATCCTTTACTGTACAATAAATCTTAGAAACGTAGTTATATCTATTTAATTAGTATATATTCATTGTTCTTTGTTTGTAACTTTCATAAAATATATAAGTCGATTTAAGTAAATTTTACCTAATAAGTACCGAAATTTCTATATAAGTATCTAGACTTCTCTATATAAGTAATTAGATCTTCTTATTAAATAAATAATTATTCAATTCATGCCTAAATACATAAACGTATTAATTAACCCAATTTAGATATCAGTTTTATTAAATTACTTCTCATACACGCCTAAACAATAATACAATACAATTTTAATTAAGCATAAGGAGCAAAACGTCTCTAATTACTGCATTCAAATAGAATAAGTTGTAACAATTTGCCAGTTAATTAAAATCAAAGAGACAATGTCAATGATAAGTGCTTAAACCATACAATTGTGTAAACTTTAATTTAACAGGTCATCGGACCAAATTTGAAGACAATAAAACTATTACAGTATTGTTTTCGTGCACAAAAGCTAATTACTTATAGTTTTGTATGCGAATACCGGTGGAGGTTAATCTCATTGCTTTAGTAGATGGGCGATTAGAAGGATCACTTGTGTGGGACAATTTCTCACACCTCAACTTTTGGTGGTAATGTCACACGCTCCCACCAGTTCGTAGCAACACAAACCTATTAAAAAGAACCTACGTTTTGAAACGAGGTACAGAATTGCGTATTGCGTGAGATGGTGAACAGCTACAAATGGGAAATCCAAAATTAATTTGTTAAAATAATTATAGTTATAAAACGTTAGATAACACTTAGTTTTGGAGAGCTTTGCTTTGGTCCGAATAGGCTAGCGGAACTGGTGTGATACCCCGGCCTCACAAAAAATGGCTTTTATCTTGTACTCCTCCTTTTTGTTTTTTTTTTTTAATGGGGAAATTCATCTTCAACTTCTCTCGCCTAAGTTATGGCGAGATGGTGTGTCTCATACTAACTAAAAACCCCCGTTCCCCCACCTTCTCCTTTGGTGTTACGTAAGCCCATTTGCTGCTTTATCCCAAAAAAACGGCATTTGTGTTTAAAGTTTGTGAAGTAAAATCTGGGTATTTATTGAAATAAAATATACTTGCTATTCATTTTTTAAAACTACTATCGATATAACGTTTATTAAAATCTACGCCAAACATTATTCACAAACAATTACCCACACAAAACCACATACTATCGCTATAATTAGTATGATAAAGGTGCGAAAAATACAGTTGTGGCAACAGCAATTAATTTGCTAAAGAAAGTTACATACAGAATTGATAATCTATTGCATTAAAATTCAATAAAAACAATAACAATGGTTTATTTTGTAATAAGATTCTTGTTTCTTTTGGTGAATGGAAGTAGGAAAATTGCCAACCAGCTCTTGCTTTCATCAAACTTGTCACATTGACACACTTGTTATTATGAATGACAAAAATCATTCACCACAGTCACATTAAAGTTATCGTTAGGCGACTACGATTGTCATAAAAACTACAATAAGGTATACGACAGGTATGTATACGACATAGGTACAATGAAGGTAATATGATGACGTGTGATAGAATAAAAAGAGTAAAAATAGGTGTTTTAAACTAAGTTTTACCTATAACTTACAAAAAGGATGAACTATATGAAATTGCCAAAATTGTTTACAACCATAATTGCAACAAATTCTGAGATTCTTTACATGATACGGTGGCAAACGATCGAAACGAGACAACGACGGATTTTGTGATGATAAGCAATTGACGCCGCATC